CCCCTGTTGTGCAAGGACGGACCGTATCTGTATCTGTATCTGGGTTACTGGGCTGCTGGGCTATTGGGCTGTCTAGGTCTGTATCTGGGTACTCTACGCCACAGAACCGCATACCATCCTTTCCAAGTCTCTTGTACCCTATATCGATGTAGATTAACGTTTGCATTGCCGGGTTGCGGCTCTCGACGGTGGTCCTACAACTGCTAACCACCTGGGCACTTACCTACCTGGTAATATTGTACCTATTTTCTCTTCAGGGGTTTACGACGACTGCCTTAGTCGCCCATATCCTGTCTACCCAGGTATCCGTCTATACGCCAGCGAATTACAGAGGAACTCGCCCAGTGCTTAAGCGAGAGTTCACTAAAATAGAGACCGGGATTTACCGAAATATCGCGTCGAAAAGATAGTCGCAACGGTTTTCAAAGCCCGGGCAAGCTGCGCAATCGCCGGTAACCATACCGTCGGAATCTGACTAGGCCAGGCCTTAATTACTAGTCAGGAACGAGTAATTTACTTTAGCAACTGTCTCAGAGGCTCTTTCGTACGATTCTGCGTGACCAGAGGTTTGGGTTGGTAGGTTACAGATGTTAGAACGATGTCGATGTTTCCATGTAGCCGTGTAAGCATGTAAGAGCGGGTGTAAGAGGTAAGAAGCAAGAAGTAGGTGGTAAGCCAGGGAGTCGCGAAAACCCCAATCCCTGCCATAGCCACGTTCCCCCCCTTAACGTCATATGAGGTATTCCTAGTTGAGCACGTTGGCGCCGTATTTGCCACTTACGAACCCGCGAACGCGTGAAGCCGCGATATTCTTGAAACCAAAATATAATAGCAAATAAGATATTTCACGAGGCGAGACTCGAACCTATTCAGGAAGAGCCTTGTTCTCGTCATTACTAATTAGATCAAATACTTGGCAGCTTGCGATAGAAAGGGGGCACATCGATTATATCCCGGATCATGGATGTAGTAGAAATAAGGTATTAATAGTATGGTTGTCAAGATATACTAAAGACTTAAAGATTTGCAAACATTAAAGCAAGGCCATGGAGTTGTCCCATGCTTGCCTTGCACATCAATAACCCCCCATAATATGCCCTGTCCTTGTTCAGCCACCCCGTGCTGCAAGACATCGATAGGTCTGTGCTGGACGATGCTGATGCCAATCAATTAGCACAGATCAGTTCTGGGCACATCCAATTGCATTGTATCTTGTACTTCCGGAGTGGCGACCCGACACGCCGGTATGCAGGTACATCTACCAGCTGTGAGACTATCCTGGAATTGCAAATGTGATCTGAAATGCTGAAATGACCAAAAAAATGATCCACGCCCAATCCGCTACTAGCTACCGGTAATACCCCCCAACACACATATCCATACACACGTACACATACACACAACACACATACACATACGCGCATATGTACGTAGAGGTAGGTACCTATTATTCTACTACGAAGCATACGCGCTTCTATTCAGTCAACCTTGGAACTGAAAAACAAGGACAAGAACAAAGTGTTCGAGGTTACAGTCTTCACCGCCTCATCCAGTGATGATGTATGGTGTCAGATCCTCAACTCCTTCTAACCAAAGAACATTGTCGGGATATCAATGCCTGCCTTTTCCGACTCTATCCTATCTACTACCTACCTAGGTATACTACTACTATAGTACCGTAGTATGTATGTAAGTCGGTGGCGATGGAGTAGGTAGAGAGAAAGAGCCTACAGTGTAAGGTTGAGACCTATCTGGAGACCTAAAATTACCTATTCCAGTCATCTGGCGCCCATTTCCAGGTACAATAAACAGAACGAGTTACGCAATGATGCCGGATGTTTCTCGTTGCCAACTTTCGTATCCCGCTGGCTTGAGACAAATCTGTTCCATGAGGACGGTCAGGACGGTCTCGCATGGAATGAAAGGGCTCTCGCGTGTCTCCACAAGTCAGAGAGACTGGAAACTGGAAACTGGAAACTGGAGACTAGAGATTGGAGATTGAAGATTGGAGACTGGAGTTGCCAACTCTCTCAAGATCTCGTCACTTTGCTCTAGCTTCTTAGCCCATCCACGTTCCGATCCCTCCAAAATTACGGTTCTCGCTAGAAATCCTTCTTGGCATCGGTGTTGGTCGGTGTTGGTCGTTGTTTTATGAATCTCCTTCGTCTGTCTCGAACAGCATCTGAAAGAAATCAATCTTATCGCGCCATCTTCGTCCTCACCCCTGGCACGGACCCTGGTCGTCGCCCAGCCAGCCTCCCCTGATGAAACCACGGGCTAGTATCCTTGCCGCAGAGCCTTCCCACGCAGCCACCGCCCACGCTAAAGGCATGCTCCGTCCTTGTACCCACAAGAACCTCCCTACAATAGTCTAGCCAAATCGACCAGCAAACTTTTTGAGGTCTATTCTAGATTTCGAGCTGTCCAACGTCAGAAAAGCTCAACGGGGACTAGGGGGGGATCTCTCCAGACCCTTCACACAATTCACGTCATCCCTATTCCTTGTCGACTTACTTGTTTCTAACATCCAAATATCGAAATATCTCTTGTCCGTGAGCTCTCACTCCACTCAAATCTTAATCTATACCTACCTGTTTCCGTTTGCGGCTCCTTCTAAGAACTGGCAATCTCGAGAGATCAAGACTGCATTGCTACCTCACATACTGGGTACCTGACTTCCACATACCTACCTGGTAGTACCTATCTACCTACCGGGACCTACCTACATACCTACCTACCTCTACCTACCTAGTATGTAGGTACCTACCGTTGCACCAGGACCCACAGGTTTTTGTAGGTAACACATTATCAGCCTACGGCTCATTCGGCGCAGATTCCCACAAACCCCCATCACTGTTCGGATAGCTCTTGGGGTTTACCCACCTAGCGCGTCTTTCTTTGTTTGCCTCTCGTAGCGGCCCCCCCAAGATCTGAAGCTGCTAGTTTGGATCCTTTACATGCTGTAGTTCCCCCCCAACAACAACCCATGTTCGTTTTCTCTCTCTCTTTTTCTCTCTATCAAGTTGTCGAGCGCATAGCATGGAGAATAAAAACTCGTACTAGAGAGCCGACCCGATCTCACTTCGCGCCCATTAATGAAAAAAGGGTCGACGTTTCTATAGCTCTATTACGGCTTATAGGTGGGCACAGGAATGTCTAGCAGAAATCCTCATCTGTCCACATCGGCTCACCACCCTTATTTCTTAATAAGCATTAAAAGCGCGGGTCGATGACAGGTACTCTGCATGCCCGCTCTGTCTGTGCGAGGTACATATAGTGTACTGGTTTTCGGCAAGGAAGATCTTATGGGATCTTCCCTTGATCCCCTGTCGCCACCGCCAGGGCAAGCATCACAAATCGATACCCCTTGCTCGCTACCTGGCCCACATAACTCGCAGGCTTACTTCCCTACCGATTCGGATGCGATCCTCCCAGGCAATCTGTACATCTGTACATCCATGGGGCACTTCTGGCACTCTGCTCTCCTGGACTCCTGGGCCAGTCCTCGACGTCTGCGGGGATAGCCTGGAGGACCACACCCACCCAGAAGCGTTGATCTTCCTATTGGCGTGAACCTCCACTAGTCTCATCAACGGTCATGCGTTCATCCGTAAAGTCTACGCTGAGCTAATGTAATGAAGGACCAATTACCAGCTCCCAGATGTCCCAGCCGAGATGTTATGTTTTCCCTATCCTGCCCTCTCTCCGAGGGTTCTGCTTACCGCCGTACCGTACCTTACCTTTAAGTAAGTTTCTATTCGTATACCACGAGTCCCATAAGTCCATACGTCTCGATCCGGGAAGAGAAAGGGACAAAAAGAGAGAGAGAGAGCTGGGCTGTGCTGTGCGAGCAAGCTCTAATGAAGAAGTCTCGTTATCCTAGAATGTGTCAGATTCCTTCTCTGTTTCGTCCTTGACCTAGTGGTCACTGGGTGTGATATTCGACCAAGAAATACCGAGTTTTGAACGTTCGAATACAAATTATGCCTAACAGTCTAGCGGCTGGCTTTCCGTAGTTGCTACAATTATTCTATTGACGTTTCCGGTTGGGGCCTGTGACGGCAAGGGTCTGCTGTTGGTTCTCTGGCAGGCCACCATAACACGGCATTAGCCATTCAGCCGAGAAACCCAATGGTCACGGCCCACTCGATATAGACGTTGCTACTTCTGCTATCATCCATGACAAGAAAAAAAAGAGAGGTGTGTGGCTCAGCAGCTACCATGCTGGGGGATTTTTTTCTTATTACCACACCTAGCCTATTAAGCGTGCGGCTTCTGTCTTGGTAGACGAAGCCTTAAAACGTGCATCCAGTCCCTTTTCAATATCTCTACCGTATCTGGCCAGGTACCGTCCCAGGCTGACCCAACACTCACGAACACCCTCTTCTCCAGACGTGCAGGCCCTGCCCTTTCCTCGGACCCTCCCTGGACATTTCTCCGTAAGGATGGGAGGTACCATTCGGTATTAATTCCACCTCTGTCATCCTCAAGTGCAGGGGTTACCTCGAAGGCGCCTTGTTGCGACCACGGACTACTTCCAAAGCCCAAATACATACATAACGCAAGGCCTACCGGTGTCTAGACGCTTTGAGGCGACCAACCCCACCAGACCATCATTCGAGGATCCTTGATCTATACACGACTCGTCATAGAAACATAGAAATTCAGGAAGGACAGACCTCAGAGCCAACTTCTCTACATCCTCAGCATCTTCACTCAGCATATACCCGGTGGCCTCATATCTATGTCTCGCATCCTTCTCGTCATCCAACCCAGACGGTGACAACCAGGCTCGATCATAGGTTTGTACTATTGCAGCTTGTCTTGCCTTGACTCTCGTTTCAACAATTCGATATATATCCACTAGGTCCTGGTCGGTGAAGAGAGGGTGTATAGGTATCTACCTACCTAGTATCTACTACTCCACAACTACGGATTTCGAGCTTCGACAGCTATAGCTACAGCTAGATCTACAACTACAACTATAACTACAGCTTTCACAGCGACAACCATCGAAATAAACATATCAGCAGAAGAGGAAACGCTATTCGAGGAAATAAAAGGCCCTTCAACAACCGCTCTATATACCTAGTCCATGGCATGCATATGCGATTTTCTTCGGCGGTATTAGAAAAGCACCTAGAAGCTACAGATCGCCCGAGCCTAACCCGGTACTAAAAAAGGTGCTGGATAGTCTCGTCTTGCAGTTCTCTATCGATAGCCGAGATTACTGCTGACTTTTGAAGTCGGGGAAATAATTTTCTCGCCTTACTGCTACCTTGTTGACTTTGTTGTTGGCTTTGTTGACTTTTGTTGAATATCGACCGTCAAGAGTTGGTTTCCTTGGTGGCTGATCTGAACGAAGTTCTCCTGGAATTATATCGCTTTCGATACCCAAACCCCTGCATCATTTCCAAATGCTCGTTACCAGGCATCTCGAACCGGAGCAAAACCACTGGTCTAGCAAATTTGAGACCACCTTCCACAAATCCACAAGCCCACGCATGTCGAGCTACGACGGCCATCTGTCGACACAGCCTGATTGGCAGGGGCAATACTCCTTTCTTCCTCCCGGCGAGAGTAATATCTTCGCACCACCTTTCGAACAGGTTACCGGCTCTAGTAGTAACAATGACATTTCTTCGCAACAGCGCCCCGCGAGCGCACATAACAACACTCTTGATAACACGAACCAGGCAACCCAGAGCAGTATTCATTCACCAATGAGCCACTCTCGCATATTAGATCCGCTTGGACTACGGCAACCGAAGGCAGAATCTCCTGTGCACGAACACGCTGATGTACAGGGTGCGAGTTATGCTATTAAGGCAGAGTCCGCCCACGAGGAGTCCTTAGCTTCTACAGATCCCCAGGGACTTCCACTTGGACCAAGCGCGTTAGGCTCGGCATCTTCGGTGCAGGGACAAGAGGCAACCTCTGGCCCAACGGTGAACGAAGACAGTGCCATAGGAAAAGATGAAGACGATGAGGTACTGGACGACGATGAAATGGTGGAGGGAGAGGGAGAGTCAACAACGCAACCACAAACTGCCGCTGAACGCACAGCTGCTCGGAGGAAGATGAAGCGTTTTAGGTAGGGAACGACGATTCGGCTACCAATAAACATCGTTAACATAAGCAGGCTTACGCACCAACAAACCCGATTTTTAATGAGCGAGTTTGCAAAACAACCGCATCCGGACGCAGCACACCGAGAACGACTTTCGAGAGAGATCCCAGGACTAAGCCCGAGGCAGGTTCAAGTCTGGTTTCAAAACAGGTGAGATTATCGCGGTGTCTGTTCTTTTTTTTACTAGGGAAATAAATCTAAACTATTGTAGGAGAGCGAAGATCAAGAGGCTTACTGCCGATGACCGTGATCGAATGATCAAAATGCGTGCCGTGCCGGACGACTTTGACAATGTTCAAGCGCTGCATTCTCCTTATGGGGCCGTCCACGGACTGGGGACCCCGATCACGCCTCCCGTCGACTTTGGAACTTCGTCATATACGGATCACATCATGCGGCCGCTGATGGTAGATACGATGCGAAGAGGGGAGAACGACGATCACATGTCTCCCAGTGGACTGACTCCGGCTTTTGGAGGTATCAACTTCACTCCGCCGGGAACTATGAATAATGATATACTTTCTCCGTTGTCGCCGTCGTCAAACGATCGAGGTTATTATTCCAGTCATCTGACTAGTCCTCTCGGAGGAGCTCAAAGAGGTTCAAATCCTTTCGCTAGACAAGGAAGCCTTGATTCTGGTGTTCAGATGCATTCACAAAACAGGCAGCAAATCCGTCCTTTACAGCCTCTTCAGCTTAGGGAGACCATGTCGAGATCACGACCAGACAATCTACAGTCGCCCTTGCGCTCAAGTATGTCATGGAAAGGAGACTCGATAGATTATACAACATATTCAAACACTAGTGGAAGCCCTGGAATCGGCGGAAGACATCAATCTCTCTACCAGTCCGACCAGATGGGTAGCAACTCAGGAAACTCGTTAAACTACGATTCCAACTCTTACTCCAGTAAGTGGAATGCCCTCACTAATCGGAATGTTCCGTTAACCTCTTCGTCAGCCTCAGGCGTCCAAACCTCACCGACCAATATTAATTACTCAAGTCTACAACAGCCCTCGCAGAACAGATCTCGCCTTCGAGCAACTTCTGCGACTCTTCCGCTCGGGTTGGATTTACGACACCAATACCGACCCATGTCGTCTGCTAGCCATTCCTCAACACCCCGAGTTCCGACTACGACGCCTTACGGATCATCTTCCGCATACACTACGAGTTTTCCGTCCGCTCCCTTAACAGCACCCATCGACTTCTCGCTTTCTAGGACGCCAGGGATCAGCAGCAGGACTTCGGTCCAGGATTATTCGATGCCCCAGATGAGCGCGCCAATCGCGCCCCCACACGATTTTAATCAAGCATTACATAGCAGCATGGGAAGCTCCAGTACCAGGACCCCGATGAGAGATACGTTCGGGGGTGGTCCCCTGAGCGTAAGCCAGGGACAGGGATCTAGTGAAAGAAGCGAGGACTACTCTCAGGAGGGAATGGGTGGATCTGGTGGTTCGGGGTTGAAACGAAAACGGAGTTCATTTAGCCTCTCGCAAGGAAGCCATACGCCCGGACCGGCTCAGACTTCCCAACCATACGGACACACTACTTGAACGATACGTCATTAATAACGGTCCCGAGAGATACCAGCAAGGGGGTTGGGTGGGTTGAAGCACGGTGACACAGAAACTCGAAAAAGACGATGTGGCGCTCTTCTGATTCTATTCGAAAATAATACCCAATTTTTAAGGACCTTATTAGATTACCATGTGTTACTATATACTTTTTTGTTTGAATTTTTTGGGGATCATTTAGTTGCATTTCTCGGTGTGGACGTGTCACAGTGCCACGACGAATTTTAGGAGTATCGAGCGTTTGGTATATTATCGGGTGGTGGTTTTATGCTAGGTTAGGGGGGGGGGGGGGAGGGCGGAATCAGAATGATTGTGTTTATGACCTGAGAAAAAAGAACATATCAAAACTTCCATACTACTACCTACAACATACATACATACATACTGGAGGAGGAAGGATAGGTACGAAACTGGCGTGGGCTATGAGACGGACGGAAAAGGCGTGTGATCAAGATGGTGAAATCAAGCGAGGCAGATCAACTATTTCCACCGCTTGACGCGCGAACTGGATACCCTTTTGCACTTGGGCTTGTACATAGGCACTTCCTCGATCGAGACAAAAAGAGGGAAAAAATAAGACTCGCGGTCAATGTAAGCTGTTGGTTCGCAAAGACGAATCAGGCTCGTGAACAATCTGCTCATCAACCTTGGAAGTCTGATATTATTATTGTTCTTGTTATTTTCGTGGAGGCTTATTTCGCTTGTCGCTCGCTCACTCTCACGACAGGATCCACACGGATAGTACGATTCTACGAATTCCACGATCAGATTACTACATACCTTAGATACTTCCCGTTCGAAGCTTGGTACCGATCTGCATTCCAAATTCTGACGTTCTCCGCAAGCCCCATAGATCTGTGTTGAGGCTCACGACTAGTAAGGCACGAGCTCTCTCCCGGTATAGGTCGTGGCTTAGACGTCCTCAACGTAAAGGACGAGAAAGTGACTTACCGAAGCTATGCGCCCCCAGCTTACTACTACTACAGTACGCCAGCTTCTCCGACTGCTTGCCTTATAGCATACATAGCGAAGTCGTAGCGGCGTGGAGAAAGAGGGTTTTGCCCCTAAAATCGGAATGTAACGCCGATAGATGGTAAATCTCGTTTTGGAGAGATCTCGTTCCACTCAGAATTCCCCGAACACGTTTTAGCAATTAACGAAGACGGCCCTCCCTACCCAGGCAAACCTCTCGATGCGACATTGCAGAACGCTGGACAACTAGCTTCTTTCTCTTATTATTATAATATTTTTCTTCTACTTTTTTTAAACACTCCTTGAATCTATTTCCGGGTGGGTGATCATCGCGCACGTATAAAACGCGGCATCGTACCGGTCAGGGGGAGGGGTTAACAAAGGGAGAAAGAGAAAAAAAAAATCGAACCCCTGTAATCTTTGCTATAGGCCTTCTCGTTACGGTAACGTTATACCAAATAGGCAAGAAAAAAAGAGATAATAGGAAAGTAGGTAAGTTAGGACTTTGTAACATGTCAACCCATAAAACCAGCACAAAACCGACCGTTCAATCCGTCAGGGGGGGTCTCGTCAAAGAAAGAGAAAAGAGAAGAAAAAAATTGGTCAAAGTCGGAAATTTCGATCCATCATCATCTCGCGCTCCCTCACCACTTAGAGCGAACGCACAGCCAGAAAAACGGATTCCTGGGATATGCCATATTCCCACCCACAGATAATGCAGGCAACAATAAGGAAACGCGCGGTAACAGTTTGGAAGCTTCCCACTGGGGTTGCATGGATGCACCTGGGGTACTTCGAAAAAAGCCAATAGAGCTTAGGGGAGACCCCAAAGCTGACAACTGCATGATGGGTTGCACAAGACGCAGCCTGCTGCATACGAAAGGGATGGGATTTATGACGGCTGCTGCGTTTGGTGCGACCCTCCACGACCTAGGTACCCTAAGCCCAGGTAGGTAGGCTGCTTGTAGATGTGGACGTGTGTAGGCGTGGAGGCGTCGTAGGCGTGTGTGGATGTACGTAGGTACCTAGGTAGGTATGTATTGTACATACGGCGCGGTGAGACGCTGTCGGGAGCTGGATCTTAGGTTCTTGTGGAAGACAGCACAAGGGGTCCCAAAAACGATGCTGTGCCAGATACCACGACATAACGATTGGCTCAGATCCTCGGGCACGGGAAGGAGTTTAGATGGACGGTGCTTGACTCTCTTTCTCTTTCCCCAACCTCGAGAAAAGGAGGAGGGATATTCCCGTCAAGCAAGCGAGCAAAGCAAGCATCCACCTATACGACCAACCTACATACATGCATAGGACATAGGTACCATCCATACCTTAGGTATGTAGGTACCTACCGTGCGTACGACTTACCATACATACCTAGTACCTACCATATGGATACCAAAATATTGAAATATGCAAAAAAAGGTAAAAAGGTAAAAAAGTATTTCCTACATGTCACGGCGCACAACAGCAGCCGCCGTCGCTCGCCGGCAAAGCTGCAAAGAGGACCCTACCATGCTACCTCCATCCCATCCATATAACATGTCAAAGCTTAGCCTAGGGCAGAGGCAGAGGCATAGCATACCTAGTACCTAGCAACAAAAGGGAGGGATGGATGGAAAAGAGAAACAGAAAGAGAGAGTGGAAGGATTTCCGGCCTAGGATTCCCGGTACAACGACCGTGCCCAAGACAGACAGCTGCGCTACGACGCTTAAGATCGCTCCGATATTTTTTGGCTAGACGGTCCCAGCTCCTTCGGGACTAGGCCCCGGACAGCGCAGCAGTCGGTAGTGAGAAGAAGCCCTGGAGCCGTCCCAAGACGTTCGAACCGCGCTGCGTTTTTACGCTGTAATTATAAAAAGGTGAAAAGGCGAAAGAGAAGAAATGAAGATGAGGAGGATTTTGGGTACTATGTAAACGTCATTCCGCATGCGAGACAACATCCCGTTGCAGATGATTTACCTACTATTATCTCTTTTTTTCTTTTTCTGTTTCTCTCTTCCTTCTTCTCCCCTTTCTCCTGCTCTTCTCTTCGTTCCTAAGGATTCTTCAGCAGGTCTGAGGCGCCTGTCGGAAGCTCTCGGTCTGGCCTAGCCTTGTGCATGTCGTAGATTTCGTAGGTGTCGTAGGTAAGGTATGCTTCGACACGCAGCACTATTTTGCTCTGTTGGTTTACAGAACCTCCAGCCATCCATGCCTACGTATCTATGCAGACTGCATTACAACATCAGCGACGACAGAATCTGACTGCAGTTAGATTTAGTCAACGTGTCTCTGCGTTGTTTTAGACGTCTTAGCTCTGTCGTGTTCTTCTGTTATTCTCCCGTTCGCGCCGCTACGCCCAGCTTACCTACAGTACAATGACGGTATCGTATTATGGTTATGATTATTATGATTACTCTTCATGATTATTTTTATTATTATTTTATTTTCTACACGCCCCCTCCCCCTTCCCCCCCCTCCTTCTAAAGCCACAGGCGCAAGCGCGCAGCAGCAGCAGCTGTCGATCGGTTCTGGACGATTTGAATCTTGATCGAAACAGATTTAGATGATTATTACTGTCAATCAAGTTCGCGGACCCGGCTGAAGCCACAGTTTGGTTCGTGTTATGCACTAGGCCGTGGCAGCCGAAAGCCAGGGCTATAAGATGTGCTAGTATAGCCCCCACCCGTTCCACCCCATCAGAGGCTTGCTTGGATCTTGACTTCCCCTATTGAGACGCTGTGTTTCCCATCCCGTCCTAGTCTTGCCCTTTTCCGTACGTGTAGGTTACTAAGGTAGGCCATCGATGTACCCCCAATGTCGATACAAGATACGAACACCTTTTACATACATACGTGGTTGTACATCGTAACATTTATTTCTCTTTTCACCGTACGCTTTTCCCCCCCTCGGTAGAGGAGCAGAGTAGGTACGAAATGCACGGTGACGGGCGTGCAGAGGGAAATCCAGGAAGGCGATCATTTTAGTCACGCTCGATCGAGTTCTAGCCTTAGCCGTCCTCGCTCCAACTTTCCGATCCGCGAACCATAATTTATCAGCGGCGCAGGCATGACTCAGCCATCTTCTTTTGTTACCTTACCTAGGTGCTTGCTGCTAGGTGCCGCCGGCTGGAAATGGACCCCTAAGCAACTTTACATAGATCTGCCCCCACCTAACTAGATATGCCCTCCTATAACCCGGTAAGACTATAGACTTAAGACTTCAGGGGGAGGACAAGGGGAGGACGAGAACGACGAAAGAATATGACGGGAACTTCAGCCTTGATGACCGACGGAGCCTCGTCCAACGGCCCCCTATGCCCTAGCCTACCGGTCAGGGGCTGCCTAGAATCGCTAAGAGGGAGATCGCCCGCCATTTAGGCAAAAGGTGTGGAATGACAGCATATGGGGTTCCCAGGGGCCAGTCAGCCTGAGAGCCGAGACGATAGCTAGGTCTGGCCTGTCACGACTCTCCATACGTTTACCTAACCGGACAGAAATTTTCCGGTTGTGGGGGGTAGGAAGGAAAGCAGAAGCGAGAGAACTGTCTGCTGCTGAAGCACCTATCTGTTCTCGTGTCTAGGGAAAAGGGAACATGGGACGCCGCATAGGGGGGGGCAAGGGGAAAACTAGATCCCACGATGTCGAACGATGGTAACTTCCGAAATGACCAAGGGTCGAACAGAGTAGAGGTCGGGGCCCCGGAAGGACGATCTCCAGAAACCGGTTCCTGGAGCCTAGATGCAGTTCGGCACTTTTCATCAGCAGCTGAAGGCGACACCTCAAAGTGGGTATCTAGGTACCTATCTTCTATTCTACCTACATTGGTGAAGTGAACCAATATTGTGCGTGAGTGGCTTGCCGGGCGGAAGTTCTACTCCCCCGACTGTACCCCCTTCTGTCCACGCTACCAGAATCGCCTACCGAGGTATGTATGCGTGGCTAGACGCTAGACCACCAGTGCGCTGGGTAATTCTAAATCTATCGCTGAAACGAGTGGCGGCGCCAGGGGGCCACCATACGAGCAGCGTCCCGCGCCGAAGGGCAAGCCACCCTCGGCCACGAGCCCGGTCGCGGGCCCGAAATCCAGCGCCTCTTGCGAAAGTCGAAAGATTTCGTGTCTCTGTGTATACGTCTCCATCACGCCACCGGCATCGAGGCTATACTGGCAGACTGGGTATCGTAATCTTTGCTTGCAGATAGATGACGATAACCGTGCAGCTGTTGGCGCCTGCGGGCTTTGCTTTTTTTTGTGCGCCCGGTTCTTTCACGTATTTTCCTGGGTACCCGACTCGGCTGTATTGCGACTTACCTAGGTAGGTCGTGGCCTATCTGTCTGTCGTATAGCCGCGCCCTGTCCTTGCATCTTGCATGGTGGTTCTGGTCATCCATAGCACGCGATGATGCCATGCGACTTATATTTCGCCGACAGCAAACCCTAGTCTAACCAGCATATGAGAGAGATGGCAACGGGTAACAGCAACACAAAGAACTTTTCTCACGAACTATCTTCCTAACTGCTAAACGTATGCCCTGCACTAGGTAGATAGGTAGTAGGTTGATAGTTATGCCCACCCCCTTATGCCCCCCTAAGCAGGCTCCCGCCAAAAAAAAAAAAGAATCCTTGCCGCAGAGGCTAAGTCCTGGGAATCTGGTATTCGGATGCCCTATTTTCCGTGTACTACTTGCAAGGGAATTAAAGTCATAATTCGAGACATCGAATCCCCAGGTTGTCTCCGGAGAGATGGCCCTAGAATTTCCGTTCGTCCAGGAAACGAACTTGAGCTACAGACATGTGTCTTGGAATCCGGGGGCGGATGGGAACCTGCAGCGCGGGGGGGCTGGCACATCCATCATCTATCTATCTATCTACCTATCTATCTAGCAGCAGCACGAGGACCTGGAGAATGACCATGATGTTTAGAGTGTCCTGCAGGACTCCAGTATAGTGTAAAGGGACGTTCTAACGTGGGGATGCAGGTTAGGGGGTTAAGACGCAGGAATACCTAGACTACCGTGCGCACTGCTACTTTCTTCCCGGTGGCTTGTAACCCCCATACGTTCGAAATGGGGCAGTCGGCCAAGAACTACCAGTCACAAGTAGGTAAGCGGCCAGAAACTCGGTGTTTCTACACGAGGGTCAACGATGGAGGGGGAAAGGAGGAACTGAACTCTGCCTGGAAACCCAACCTTAACGCCCCCTTCCAGCTTCGCTTGGGCCGCTGCCGCGCTCCTACTCGCAAGCCCCATCTTCCCAATTCTTACCCATCCTCTACTACCTCCGCTAGCCGCCCTAAGTGCACCGGCTCATATCGAGATCGAGGGGGAGCCAGCACGGCAGTCGCCATTTTTCTCTTTTGTTTTACGTAGCGCTAAGTCCCAAGTCTCAGACTCGACGACGGACGACGGAGTCGAAACGGTAGAATGGATCTTGGTAGTTTGGTCACCGTCCAGGAAACAGAAAGGGAAATGATGAGTGCCTCGTGAAATGGCGGCGTTTACCCGCAGTAGCGATCGTTTCTGTTACTGCCGCCGCTTGTGGTGAAGAGGGGGGGCAGCACAATGAAGTGTAGTCGCTGTTCAGGCTACTTTCAACAACTTTCCCTCTTACAACAACAAAAGGGGTTGGTTCCAATACACGTGAGTTTTCGTATGTTCAATACCTAGTTATAGTCATGACCGAGTAGAAGTTAAAGCATCATATCATCTCGATAGACGAGCCACCGGTTCGCATCTTGGTTCGTAGTAATTATAAACCTGTTAGCTCGAATAGACATGTGTTCCCCTTAATGAAGTCAAATTGCCAATTCATATGAATAGAGGGCCTCGCCCCCTATAAGGCGCAGTGCTCACTGCGCGGTTAAAGCAGCACACGGCCCTATCAGATGTGGAAATGAGCCCAACAGGTAGACGAATAGACGAACCGGTGAATGCAATCGAATCGTTTAAAGATGAGCAATTCGTAGAACGTGTTTGAAACGAGGTCTAAGAATGGATGAATGAATGAGTGTTTCTATCATTTCTCCGTCATTTTGAGCCTTTAATAGACTCGATTCCCTCGAAGGGCCAAGATTTGCAGATTCATGTTGGCTCTGCTAGAAATGCATCGTAGGGGGAACCCCGTGGGTCGCGGTCACGATGGGTTTTTTATTTACGGATTCTTGCACTCAGCCGTCGAATACCATAACATGTAAGATCAGTACTTTTATATCAATTAGTTTGGCGTTTTAGAGATGTCTTGACTTCCCTATTGTGCCTTCGTCGTCGCTACGGTCATGGCTTACCCCTTTCTTTAACTGGTCTCTATATCCAAACTTTCTCCTCGCATTTCCCTCCTTAATTATCGGAAACAATTCGAAATAAAGCTAGGTAATCTACCTAGATGATTTTAATTCAATTTTTACCTTCAGATTTCACGAGATATCATATAAGTCGCAGGTTTTCTAGTCTCCAGGTTCTGTTAAAGTTTTGACTAACGATTTCCGTCCTCGAGAACTAGGTGGTTTAGCCTCGTGATAAAATCGACGACACCAACACTACCTAGTATCTACCTCAACATCTTATCGAACGATGAAAAACTCTTCACGAAGACTTACGATACGTTTATAATCTTGGAAAGGCCTGTAGCTTCGAAGTAGGGCTAAAATAGTCTTATGGCAAGTGTTACCGAGACCCGACTACTCGCGATGCCTCAATAACTTGTATCCGCGTATAAAGACAATACATAACGGAAATAGGATTTAATACATAAGAGTGAGCATGATGGATAAATCGTATTGCGCCAGGACCGTACCTGTTATCAGGTAGGATGTTGGTCGTATTCGACGCAGGATACAAAGCATGAGCCCTCAAGTTGATACACAGCAAGATCGTCCATACCCACGTACGTCCTTTTGGTTATCATTTACTTCTTTCACAGCATCTGCAGCTCTTCCTTCTCTAGTTTCCAATGGGAATTGTGCTCCAATCCTTCCTAGGACTTCTTACGTACCTCGCCCACACCTCACGCCCCCAACGTGCCTCGAGGGTACTGATATTTTGGATGTAGCTTTATGTATATACGCAGGATTTGGACGGCGGTCAGGTACTCTCATTCAAATCAAACCGCAATTTAATCTAAGGCTGTAACAATACAAGCCTAAGAGATGTAGAATCGGCGTTGTTGTTGCGCGAGAAGTTCCAAATCTCTATTACGCCAAACACCAATCCAACAAGTAGAGAACCCCAGGTGTTCAACCATATCAAACTCAGTATTCACAATCTTCCTCTACTTTTATGTATCCCAAAACTCCATCTACAGTATCCTGTATATATGCCACGCAACAGCGTATCCACGATCCAACCAACTAACTCTCCTCCCTCGCCACACTCCTCCCAGCCTGACCCCTCCTACTAACCCCCAAACGACTCATCTCAATCCCAACATCCTCGACAACCCTCCCGCGACCCTCCTCAGCCAACACCTCCTCGCTCTTCCTCCGCCCTCCCGCCTCCGCACCCGCGCTCGTAGGAACCACACCGCTCTCGCTCCCACTCTCCGCCGGCCCTCCACCACCACCATACCCACTCACACCCTCAGCAGCATACGACCCGCCCACACTCTCCATCGTAAACATACTCGCCGTAGGCGCATCCAAAACGCCCAACTCCCGCATCGTAAACCACCTCGGCAAAACCAGCGCCCTAACCGGAATAAGCGCGAGAATAACAACCGGGAAACCAACCGCCGCCACGGTCTGCGTGATCGCGAACGTAGCAGCGAAAGCAGCAAGCTCGATGCCCACGAACGCCCACACCGCCGCTCTCCGGCGGATCGCGGCCAGCGGGTGTCCGCCAGGCGTGAGCGCGTGGTCTCTTAGCAAGAAGAGGAGTTTGGCTGTGATGCCGTTTCCCTCGAGGGCCTGGTAGCCCATGATGAAGAAGAGGCCGGCGAGGACGGCTTGTGGGATGAGGTGGAGGACGATGAGGAGGGGGCCTGTCATGGTGCCTAGGGTTAGCAGGCCCTGTGCTAGGTTCGAGACGCGCTGCTCGACGACGTGGGTGCGTTTGAGGACGTAGTGGCCTTTTGCTTCGCCGTTGGTTTCCTCGGTGTCGGCGACGACCTTGGTGACGCAGAGGGATTCGGTGTGGAATGGGGCTTGGGGGATGAGGCCGTTGGGGAAGGGAAGGCCGAGGATTCCTGCGATGCCTGTTGTTAGGCCTAGGAGGAATAGGTCCCAGTGGAAGCCAGCGGGTTTTCGGAGGGGGAACTCGGTTCCTTGGGCGATTAGGGACGACACTGTTTATTTCGTGAGCTTTCTAATTAAGATGGGTGGGTATTGACCTCTTCATAGACTACGAATGGGAAGGAAAGAAGAAAACTAGGCTTACCATTATGATCAAAATAGAACAAGATGGTAAGCAAGATCGCAAATGGCATCGCAATGAATATATCCCCAACATCGATATCCCAAAACTGAACGAGCCAGCCTCTGTCCGCGGTAGGGAAGAAAGCCGCGCTAGTAGGCAACCTCTCGAGCTCAACCGTCTTCATACGGCCTAGGTGCACGAACCCAGTGAAAAAGATGACCGTAAGCGGGGTTCCGTAGTCCTTCAGGAATACGCGCACGGGATGTCGGAACAGCGGACTCTCGCCCAGCTCGCCGCACGCATACGCAATCATGAAGACGAGCAATGACACCATGACAGATAGGTAGAATGGCGAGTCATCACCAAAGCGCTCGAGCACCTGGACGCCCTTCTGCAAGTAGATGAACGCGACGTAGAAGCCGAAGATATCGCACGGAAATCGCGTCACGTAACGAAGCCAGTTGCAGGAATTAGTGACGGCGAGGATCCAGTGAAACACCAGAGACCAAAGCCCAATCCAGCACATAAAAGCTAAGTAATTGGTCCCAGTAGGCGACATGATATCGTAGACCGTGCTAGACTCTTCTAGTCAGACATTATAACACCTACACACAAGCAAGAGGGCAGAGAAACGACGTACTAATTGAATACTGTAATAGGACCAGTAACTCCCACAATAACCAACGGTTGACAAGCGAGTATGGCAAAAACCACCGCACCCAGAACCGACGCCAGCAACACTTCATTCACGCCGTACTGCATATTAGTCTTCGTGAACATATCGAGCGAGAAAGCGAGTGCAGGGAGGATACTAAAAGATTGTGTCAGTAATCCCCTATTCCTGTGTAACGAAAGTATACCAATTAACAAAAAGTCGCCGATGCAGAACTTGATAATTCCAGAGCGAATTGATACTGGAAACGAACCAAAAAATGCATATACGAGTCGAGTAGAGCAACAGAAATAGTAAACGGAACCATACTTCGCAAAATACATATAAACCGTCGACGGCACGACGCGATAATCCCAAGCATCGGACCAATCGCTCCAATAATACGGCGCGCGGCGGCGCAAGTCATTGACCATGCCGCGGAAGAAGTGAATCTTCCACCAGCCATCACCAGGCCGTCGCTGTTCCACGGCACTGCCATGATTAAGAGCAGCAGCAGCAGAAGCATTCCGCGAAGTCAACAGGGAGTTAACCCAACGTCGGAAGTTGCCGCTCGGCGACGACCCGGCCCCTCCAGCTCCTCCGGGTTCGGCTGCGCCACCGCGATTTCCCCCGGAGGAATGCATTGCCGTCGGGAAGGTCAGCGAGTCGGCCGTCTGAGACATGGCTCGCGGTATACGTGAGTTTCAAATACGGGGCGGGGATGCTGTTAGAACCAAGATGCCATCCATATAAATCGAAACGTAGTAGGGATTTATGAATGTGTAGGTACCTAGATAAGTATTTAGAAGCCGAACAAGTAATCCTCCGGACCCAGGATCTCAGGTAAGGAAAGAGGCGATTTACCAATACTAGACTATAAAATGCAAAGCGCTGTCTCGGGCGATGGCCATATCTAAGAGACACGTCGGGTGATACCCAGCTACCTGCAGTCGTGGAATTGCCTACCAATAGTTAGGCCGGCGGTGTATGTTTCCAATGATTAAAAGTCTACGAGCCAGGATGCTACAATTAGCTAATCGAAGATGTAGATAACCTTTTTCAGGGTTCCAGGGCTATTCCTGGTTCATTCTCTACTTGGGTTAGTTCAACCCTTGCCGAGTCCTTTCCCCACAGCGACCAGGAAACCCGTAACCGGGGGGCAACGACTTCTAGGTAATTGTGGGGAGACGAAGGATGGAGGGAACGAAGGTGCGTCATCGGCATGTTCGTTGAAACTCAAAACTCTTTTTTTCTTTTTTAACTTCCAAACGCCGGTGCCTTGCGATTATGAGACTCTTATGTAGTATTGTACAGTATGTGCAGGTCGCGGCAAGATGGTATGTTTTTCCCCTTTCTCGTTAGTAATAGAACATACATAGAATGAGTTGAGAGCTTCGAGTCATCATAAATCATGACAGCAGCCCTTAACCCTCGACAACTCCCCGTCCGTGCGTGATATGAGGTCGTATATACAAAAGATTGTTACCTCCTTATCTCGCCGTTATCTTCCTTGAATAACGCAGGACTAGAAGGAGGCTCTGGCGTGCCGGGGAGCTCTGGCGGTGGGGTTGGTGCCGGTGGTGGCTTGGCATCGGCACCGAAATACTTAGAAAAGTCATCTCTATCATCGAATGGTCGACGCCCTAATAACCGAACCATATCGTCTCGAACCAATACCTCCTTCCTCAACAGCTCCTCTGCGATTATTCCTACTTCCTTCTTCTTCTCTAGCAGGAGATCTTTGCACTTCTTGTACGCCTGCTCAACAATCCGTCTCACCTCCGCGTCGATCATTCGACCCGTTTCCTCCGAGAAAGGTTTATACACCCTACTCTCGTCGTTCCGGAAATGTAGTGGCCCAACCTTTTCTGACATGCCCCATTTCGTTACCATGGCCGTAGCCATTTGAGTCACCTTGTCAAAATCGTCACTACCCCCCGTAGTCACCGTGGGGAAGTGAATTTCTTCTGAGATACGACCGCCTAACGTCATGGCCATTCGGTCCATCAATTGCTCGTAGGTCATTAGATAAGCGTCTCCCGGTAGGTACTGCGCATATCCTAGACCTTTACCTCTAGGTATGATCGAAACCTTCAATAGAGGATCGGCATATCTGAAAAACCAACCACAGATAGCATGCCCCGCCTCGTGGTAGGCTACAGTCCTCTTCTCTTTCGGATGTAAAACAAGCGACTTGCGCTCAAGACCGCCGATGACACGCTCAATAGCTTGTTCAAAGTGCAACAATGTGATCGACGTAGCATTACCCCTTGCGGCTATTTGTCTTGTGAGTAAATTACACCAAATCAAAATAGAGGTGGATAAACATACCGATGAGGGCAGCCTCATTTACAACGTTCGCTATATTCGCACCAGCGAAACCTGGTGTTAGAGATGCGAGCCGGCCACTCAGATATTCGATGTCCTCATTAGTCACGATCTTCTTAAGGTAAACTTTAAATATATCCTGTCGTCCTTTCATCGTTGGGGCGTCGATGTTGATGTGTCGATCAAAACGACCGGGTCGCATCAGGGCCTTGTCCAGGACATCTACTCGGTTAGTACCAGCGAGAACGACAACCTGATCGGTAGTATTGAAACCATCCATCTCCGTAAGAATTTGGTTGAGCGTGGCTTCTCGTTCATCGTTACCTCCGAACCGTTGGCCCTCAGCACGAGATCTACCGATGGCATCAATCTCATCGATGAAAACGATGCATGGGGCATTCTTGCGCGCCGTGGCGAAAAGATCCCTGACCCTAGACGCACCGACACCAACAAACATCTCGACAAACTCCGAACCGCTCACGGTATAGAACGGCACACCTGATTCGCCGGCAGTGGCTTTCGCAAGTAACGTCTTACCTGTTCCAGGGGGTCCGGCAAGAATTGCGCCGCGCGGGATCTTTGCGCCAAGCTTCTCGAACCTTTCTGGCCTTTTAAGGAAGCTGACGAATTCCATAATCTCTTGCTTAGCCTCGTCCATACCGGCGACATCTGAGAACTTGACTTTAATCGCTGTCTCGTGACTAAAGCGCTTTGCTTTGCTCTTGCCAAACCCAAAAACACCGCCCGATCCGCCAGCACCACCTGTACCGCGTCGTGAAGCCCAGATGAGCAGGCCGACAAGCGCTAGAGTGGGACCGAACGCTAGTACAATGTTGAAGAGCGGGTTCTCGCCAGCGTAGCTCACGGGTATTCTCTCGCTTGTGGGGATTCCAAGTTCATTCTGAACGTCTTCTAGACGCTTTTCGAAAGCGTCGGCGGAGGCAATCGTGAAGTAGTAATGGAAGCCAGGGCGAGTCGCAGCCGATTCAGGATACATAGATCGAGCCGCATCTCGATTAAGCTCGACGCGGACTCTGTGACCCTGAATGACCAGTTTTTCAACGAGACCCTTCTCTATGAAGTTCTTCCTGATCTCCTGCCATGACATTTCTCGGCCATCACCGTCGAATAAGGAATTGTAGAGCCAATAAGCGACAGCCGAACCCATAATTGTTGTAAGCCAGTCGTTTTTCCAAGCATTATTGTTGTCGGGTTGAGGCGGAGGTGGTTTGTTCTGGTTCGGGTTATTTGATTTGAACCCACCAAATTTGCCTTCGCCCTTTTCAGAGCCTTGCTTGTCTCCTTGTTTCTGTTGCTGTTGCTGTTGCTGTTGCTGTGACCGTTTCGTCCCTTGCGATGTCTTTTCCTCTCTTGGCTCCTTCGCGCTTAGTTGCTCATGTATATCGTCTAAATGCAATTCCCTAATTCGCGAAGCCAAAGTATTTATACTCTTCATTGCCTTGCCAAAGTCTACAATCGTAATGGTTTTGTTCCTATACTTCTGGATCAATTCTTGCAGCTGGATTGGTACCCCCGTTATTCTTATAGTCTTCAAAACGGGCTTGTCCATGTTAAATGGCCCGGGAAATTTTATAAAGGTTTCAGTAAGGGTGTTGATTTCCTCATCAGTGAGATGCACCCAGCCCTCAGGTAGTGGTAACCTATCTCCCTTTCCTGCGCCGGATTTTGCTGGTGCCTCGCCCTCCGTTGGACCCGGCGAGCCCGTAGTTTTCATTCCAGGCTTTGATGAATGGTTCTTCGATGATGACGCTCCATTCTGACTAGCATTTTTCTTGCCATCGGAATCTTCGGACTTCTTGTCGGCATAGTAACGAGGTTGTTGGGGTAGCCAAGCAGACTGCGATGTGCGTAAAAGACGGGTTGTGCGTACACTCGCGCGGGCAGAAGCACTAAATGAAATGCTAGTGATCCGCGCGAGGCCAGCCGACCGTCGTAATATGGTTGACATGGTGGGCGGTAGGAAACCGTGGAGGCTTGTTACCAACCGTAGGCGTAAGGATCGGAAAGAAGGCGAGATAATTATCGAGTGCGGAAGATTAGGAAAATGCTAAGAGCCCAGATGCCGTGCTATCTTATATCTTACGACGATATAAGACGGCAACCGCTAGTATAGCGGGCTGAGAGAGCGTTGGCTGAAACCCGACAGCAGGCTGCGTCGGGAATTTCTGGTACAATGACGATGCCGTAGTATGAGGTTAGAAATTGAATTCGGCTTTGCGCTGACTGATTTGAATTAGATCCAGTGGATGGTGATCATTCGAAAGAAGCTTCTCCACTAAACCCCAATCGACTTTAGCGGGCAGGTATCTCTCCAGTTACGTACCCATGCACACGTGATCATGTGGAGATATCGGACTTTACATATATATGTCCCTCTTTATGCATTTTATGTACTTTATGCACATATATTCGCATATTATATTCGCATACATAACTGAGACTAGTATTGACTTCTATAGCACAAAATCATAAATCACATTTCCACATTTAGTCGGAATTTATAGCAACTACATCATAGTAGTCCGTTCTCTTCTAAAAGACATTGAGCCAAGGGTATAGTGGGTATAATAAAAATACAACGGCAGCGCAAACTCCTCCAACTCTCAATTTTTAAACCTCCGTGGAAACTTTACCAAAGCCGCGGCCCTTGATCGTTTCGGGCGGAGGCCATAACCTAGACTCTTCGTCTTGACTATCCAGGCATCTACTAGCCTCACTCAGCGTGGACATGTCGTAAGACTCGTCGTGCCCTATATTTCGCCGTTTGAGATTCTGCCTCTCTATATTCTTCTGTTCTACCGTGTCAATCACTCGGCCGCTTTCCGGTCCGGACGACGATGATACCCCGGAACTCTTGCGTCCATATGCCAGGAGCGCTGGGAGGAGTCGGCTGAAAAAGGGGCGAACTACTGGAACCGAGGCACAGACTATACCCAGGTTCACCTCGATGAAACAAAGTATCACTGTATATTCAAGATTAGTAACCACTCCTATATGAGAATCCAGCTTCCACGGGAGGGTTTGGTGCCCTTGAAAGGTATAAGATATGATGTTTATCACGTATACTCACTATCAGGTACCGCATCCCAGTCATAATCTTCACTCGCTTCCAGCACGGGTATGTAGGTAACACGCTTGAGAGCGACACAGCATACACTAACGACCGATTAGTAATTCTAAACTTCGTACGCCCGAAAGAGAGGAAGATAAAGATGATGCACATACACGATTCCCGTCGCAAAAAGTAATATTACCGATATTTTTTGCCTTCTGGGGAGCTGCATTCGAATCACCAACGGTATTGGCAATAACAAGATGATAATATCGATTCCGATATCTACTACGTGTGAGCAATCTCACTACGAATATAGAGCATCATGTATGACATACTGTATATATGTCAGTCTTTATCAAGAGTCGCGAAGCAGGGTGATTTTATTTCATACCTTAAGCTGCTCAGACTTATGTAGGCAGGATACGAGTCATAGCACACGGCGTCTAAGCTCTCGTCGACGATACCTTGAAGCGGCCTGCAGGCTAGTGATTCGACTAACGCCGCCGTCACCGAATAGGAGGCGATGATAGCGATGCATATATAGCAAGTCCAACGAAACCACATATGCGGCGCGAGCCTCAGATACAGGACAAGCATGGACATCTTGGCGAAGCTGACGCTTAAGATGAAGCTGAGGTAAGCTAGAAGGCCATACTAAGATAGACATTAGCTATAGCAGATATATCGAGAGAACTTTGTCGTTATTACCAGGCGTTCGCCGATATGGTAAGTATCCTGCAGAATATCCCAGACGTGATATGTGAGGCCATGGTCGATGTCTATTCAGAATATCGAGTTAGAAAAAAGCCAGCAGCTAACCCTCTCCCAGAGAAAGCGGGAATACGGTACCTTTCTTCACAAATACCAGCATCGCAACCGAGATCATATAAGCAGCGATGACAAGCCCTTCAGCTCATATTAGTTAACAGCCTAAAAAGCGCCAAGTCTCTTACTCACAGTCATCGGCTTCGAGTTTCTTCTTGAGCATGTAAACCCTCGTGTAAAGACGAAGAGCGAGGGCAATGCCGGCGATAATAGTTGTCGAGATACCGGCGGCCATAAGATCACCGCGGCGCGTCGGTGGATTGACCGGAGTGCGCACCTGGCCTGGTGGAGGCTCGGCGTAGTAGAGCTTACCATCGCTCATCGTGAGAACCTTCGCCGCTGCCAAGCAGGAACCACTTGCGAGTTGAAGAAGTTAGACCAGTATGTATGACAGCCTGTTTTTTCAAGCTGGAGTGCCGATGTCGAGCTCAAAATACCGGCAGCGGTCTAGGCTAGGGATGAACCGGCGGGTCGGCACAGGAATATTAAGTCATGTCTCAAGGGAATCCGTCGCCTTGGCTATATGGATGTGATTCGCGTGATTTGTGTGATTCGTTGGGCATGCAGCAAACCAGTCAGCCCAGCCAGCCTGCCGCTTGCTCTTAGGGCTGCGCGAAGGAGGCGGGATGAGATTATTTTTTTTCGTCAATACCTAGGTAAAAGAGTGTTGCGATTGCTACTAGGTATTACTCTTATGCATGCACATTCACGAATAACTATTGAGTGGCTAAAGCAACCCATGTGAGAAGAGAAAAAAACCCACCAGTCCTTTCCTAGTCCGTTGGCAAGTCCCGGGGCTTAAGTTGACCACCGCTGCACTGTCATTGATCAGCCAAATTTTATGACATGTTAGGTAGGCTTTTCCGGTGGATAAAATTAGCCCAAGTCCATTTGGTCATCGCATCGGACAAAAGCCACCGGGCACAGACCACAGATCTCGGTACACCACGATATTGACATCGCACTTCCCCTCTCTAGAATCGGATAAGGAGGCACAGGAAGGCACAAGCTGACAAGGCGTTTTCTCCAACACGGAGCGATACATTTGTGGCTTGCCAAGACCAATGTTAGCTTAGGGAGGGTTATCGTTACGCGCGGCAGATGTTGACTCTTTCCCGTTTCTCTCTCTTCACCTCACCGCCAAGCATACTTAGATCGCCTTGGCAGTCTATCAGCTAATGGATTGGTACAGCTACCTAGCTTGCATGGGGTAGGTGTGCTTTTAGGCCTCTTTCACTGTTCATTGCCTTAAACCCCTCAAGGTAATGCGGAAAGGTTTCTGTTCGAGATAAGATCAGTGCCGGTGAGAGTTGGTGATGCCGGGTATTATCGAGTGAGGCTTATGGCCAGGAAGATACCCACCATCCTGTTATTGGAATCAGATATCATAAATATATAAATATATTGAACATCTACAGACACCCAAAGAATATGTACTCGACCTATTCCAGCTCCAATGTTGTACTAACTGATTCCTACGATTTTCCATTATCATTGGTTCCCTGTAGGGTAGTTTCAATTATCGTATTGGGATGAATTGATGTCAATATACTAGGTATATACTGTCACGAGCCCACATCTTTCCATGGCACCGAGAACCTCAAGGAAAATAAGCATTTAGTGTCCCGACAAGACGGATCGGGGTAATACAAGATCATGGTCATGGCTAAGCTAACCTTGAATGCACGTAAGATGCTTGCTTGTTAGCTTACACAGTAGCAACAGTGAAGCTACCAATGAGCAGCTGTTTGACTCCAGACGAAGCTTATTCTGCAGCTAAGGTAAGTCTAGCTTCAAAGGACTTACCTGATACGCTCATTATATATAATCTTGAATGCCACGCCATATTTGAGTGGGCATCCTCGTCGGCGCTGCTTTGATCTCCCATAGAATATCCTCACATGGGTCCTCTTGGATTGACTTTCACGACGTCAATGGTATGGCTCCCATAGGTGGACTTGCTGTGGATATGAAACGACATGTATACATTGTCTTTTAACATGGTGTCTTGTCTGACCTCGTCCGAGATTCCCGTTGTCCTCGTTCTAGCGGCGGAGCGAATAGCAATCAGGATCTGCTTGGGCAATAAACCAGACAATCGGTCAATCAAGGGATGACACAGCGGTGTGACAACCGGAACACCAATATAAGCCAGAAAATGATATTTGAACGTGATTCATGGCGGCTTAAATGATACGATGTTCCCTGCGCTGGCCTTGCCGAGCCCATGTCTCCTACTATATTTCTTCCAATCACAAACTACCGTCAATATTCGAGTTTCCAATCACCTGGTTGTGACACCTAACTATAGTGGGCAATGCAACCGACGGCCTTCAAGGAAGTATGATGAGACTCGATAACGGATCTGCCTGCATTCGTATTTGATTCAGATCGCACGTATGGTACCTTTCAATTAGAATATTAGAGTCCGACGACATGCAGCTCTTTTGCGTAGTGAGTTGAGGTAGATCGCACAACATGGAGAATGTTCCGATCATATGCAAACACAACGCACGACAGGTTAACCATAACTTCTGGGGGGGAACTCTCGATTAGGCTCTCACGATGGACTGGATATTCGTCAGACCATGCACGTTACCCTGTCGCCGGCACAAGTCAAGTTCCAAGTTTTCCATTCAAGGTTTGCAAAACTGTAAGACGCAGACGACAGTTAATCCGACAGGCGGTAAAACGGGCGATTTAATCGACTGGCATTTTGAAATTTGTAAGCTGCGATAACGAGACAAGCCGACAGCCCTCCTGCGTGTCGGCACGATGCATTGATTTCATCCGACGAGGTACTGCTCGATATCCTTATCCTCCTCATCTTCCTGCAGCTCCTGAAGTCTCTTCTCTTCGGCATCCAACAGCTTCTTGATCATGTTTCTCTGCCGTTTCCGAGCCTTCTTTCCCCAATCCGAAGCCGTAGTTTCCGCCTGTTCGTCCTCGTCATCACTATCCTCGGGTAAACCGATTTCGCCGCGCAGTTGATTAGGAGATATTTCCGCTTGCCGTTCCTCCTCTTCCTTGAACTGCTTCTCCATTTGCTTTTCTTGAAATTTGGCACCCATTTTGATGATGTAAGGTCGCAGCAGCGCGTATGCGCCAACAATGATGACTAGCCGAATCCATTGTTTCGGTGTCATGGACGTGAAGGACTCGGAGACATTGTGGGAGAATCGCTCTCTGACTAGATTGAATAGTTGGTTTACCGAGTCGAATAAATGGGCGACAAGGTCTACGAGTTCCGACATGTTGGACTAATGGTTCTCGTTTTCGTTCTTGTCGCAGCTGATGGATGATATGCAGAACGATTGAAGATGCGAATCTGCAGTGGTAGAAGGGTAGAAGAAAGTTAGGAACGACGAGTAAGTATATTATAATGCTCACGGCAAGTATATATACTCGTCGGAAGCTTCGGTATCGTGAGTCAATAATAATAAACAATTACTCAAAACGTATGGATCCATAAACTTGAGGTAAAATCAAACAAAAGATCTTTGGGGGAGAAAAAAGCCTCTCGGTATTAGCGCGCACGGACCTGTTTTTAGAGTGGCTCACTCTTTAACCTTAAATGTCTAGACGCGCCTGACGTAATTTAGACGCGTTCAACCATCAGTCCTTATCATCACCCCTAACCCAAATCGAAACACCTCCTGGGATTTTAGACAAGCCTATCCATTCATCATGGCGGGTGAGTCTGAAGATGAGGTACGAGAGGTAAGAATATTAATGATCATCACTTGTAAAGGAAAGTTAGCTAACATTGAAACAGCAACTAAAAGCTGCATTATGGTTCGCAGTAGGGAAGATGGTTGATGAAGAGACCTTACGGAGGAACAGAAACGTGACTCCTCAATTCATCGGAGCTTTAACTGAGATGGTCTGGGCCCAAATAGGTATCGCTTCGGATATACAAACTCTAGATATACTTTACAGTAGAAGCTGATTGATTCTAGAAAACGTCGCATTGGATTTGGAGAGCTTCAGTCGTCATGCAGGACGAACTACTATCAACACCGAAGACGTCTTACTCCTGGCCAGGCGGAATCAAGATCTGCATGCAATTATCAAGGATTTCGTGGATAAACAGAAAGCGACAAAGGCGAAGGGCAAGTCGAAGAGATGAACCAGGGTGATGAGCACCAGCTTATTTCACATCTGCTCCCGACTTTTGAGGTCTCATACATGTAAACATGTTTAGATCATAAATCTCCGCTATCAGACCAGTTCCATGGTCTATTCCACGGGACAAAACTCGGTATGGGAGAGACTCCGTGTTCATGATAGTCATAACTTGCGGGGGCTTCGATATCGAGAAGAGTATTTCGGGAAATATCTCGCGAAAACGGCTGCTAAGGCGAATGGGACAAATCCCCGTGTTCGGCCCATGAAGAATGTACTATCATCATAGTACACCAAATTCCATTACTCGATCACATGAATACAACACATACCGATAAAAGATTTATAATAGAGCAGTTGTCCTTGCTTCTGAATTCCGTGAAATAGGGAGAGCGTGTTAATATAACAAAAGTCAGCAACTCGATAGGCCATCAACAGCAAAGCGGCCAATAGAGGTGATGATTAACGGCCTGGGCAGCATGGATATTCTTATGGTCCTGAACTATGCTTTGAGTGTTCTCTAGTATCAACTTCGAACCCCTTATTATGCGGTTGCAGCTATAAGGCGCATCAGTCAATACTATAAAAGCCGGGGTAGAATACTAAAGAATACCGCTAAACTCAAATACTTTTTGATATTTGGATTCAATTCATAGTAAGCAAGAATACCTACTAGGTACCTAAGGCACCTATGTTTATGAGCGTCATTTCCTCGCAACTTAGTCTATTCGTAATGTCTTAAAAGACAGTCAAGCTGAAAGACGCGGAAGCAAGGCAATCCCGGTGTCAACCGCCACAATCCTGATCTCAATGTTCTGGATCGTAAAGAGCTAAAATCTATTTAAGAAAGCTGTCATTAGTTTATATCAGCTTTAAAAGAAAGAAGATTCGAATAGTGATGCAGGGCTAGCAGGTACCTAGCCATACGATTATAGCTGCGGCTATTAATATAAGTTGGCTTCTTAGCTAAAGAGCTGAATAAGGGGGGAAATAATAAAATAATCAATACTACAATACTAAACTTAATCATCTTGGCCTGAATGCGAATGGTTTCAAGCTAGTGATACATGTATGAGTTGAAGGACAAAGGGGTACCAAGGTACTTCGTATACAACATTCATGGAGTAAAGTGGCACGACGTCATCCCGAAACTTAATCTTGAACCATCATGGGGTGGCACGTGATGGTTCATTGTTGATAAACAAGACAGTTCAGTCAATTGTGGGAATAATGCAAAATTTTCATAAAGGAAGAACCGAGATATTCACGTGTGAATCCCCTTTTTTAATCTGTTTGCACCGCTTCTCTTTAATAAAGGTTGCTTCCTGCGACGGATGAGGCGGATGGATGACGATCGTCATCAATTGTTGAGTGTGGCTGAAGACTAGAGTGCTAGAGCTGCCACAGTTTCCGCCACAGACTATGACGATTTAACGTGGCTCTGCTAGCTTTGTAACAAATCAGAGAATTTACTGGTTTTTAATCCCTGTCGATATCCAACGTCACATCGGTAGATCGGCAATAGCGCAACAAGCTTGTGTCGAATAAGAAGCTGTGGAGGGGCAACTGGGACCAGAAAAGACCCATATTCGTCATCGTCACGGACTGACGGTTAATTAAATTGATCGGATTCAGTAGAAGAACTGCGGGCATCATCCGACCTTCTTTTAAGACCGAAATACCGTTTGATGTTCCCAATCGACGTCAAATCTCTTTCACCGATCGACGACCCTCTTAATCCTGTCGGTTTGTTCAATCTCCATTCTACTCCAGTTTCCAACCAACCAACCTATTAATTCCATTCCTACTCCCGCCCTTTGTATATTGTCACTTCATACACCTTCCGCGTCTAGATCTATTCCAATCCATTTCGGAATCTTTGGAATTTTGTCGAACTCAATTTGCCAACATTCATTCGGCATCATACAACATATTCAATCGTACAGCTAAAAATTTAATCGTGCAAACAGCTGCAAACAATTACCAAAAATCGCCATCATGGGCGCAAAAGCGGGTTTCGCGCTGAAGCTGGTGCAGTGGTTCTTCCGAGGCATCCAGTTCTGCTGCAGCGCTCTTATTCTCGCCATCTTCTCATATTTCCTCGCGACCCTGAGCAATCGCGGCTTAACGATACCAACATGGACCCGTGCCGTTGAAGGAATCTCGGGTATTGGTGTACTATACACCATCGTCGGTCTATTGCTTCTGTGCTGCCTAGCCGGACATCCGTTTACATCCTTCATCGCCATCGTCCTGGATATCTGCTTCATCGGCGCATACATCTACGTAGCTAGTTCCACTAGAGCAGGCGCCAGCAGCTGCACCGGCACGGTGGACACCGTCTTTGGAAGTGGCCAAGCCGAGAGTCTGATCAACGACAAACACCCGACCTACCGAGAAGCTTGTCAGATGGAGACTGCATGTCTAGCGGTTTCGATAGTTGCGATGTAAGACGCCCTCGTTCAATCCCATAATTCCATTAACACAGTTTGCTAACTAACCAACCAGCCTCTTCTTCGTCTTCTCTGCAGCTCTCGAGGTCGTTCTCGTCCGCCACCGACGCAAGGAACAGCGATTCGGCCCAAGTCCAGCTAACAACTACACTTCGGGCTACGCCAAGCGTCGCGGCCTACTCGGTCTCTTCCGCAAAAAGCGAACTGCCGATGCGGAGGACCCCAACGTTCTACCCGCGCACACCCAACCGGACCAGATGCGCCAGAGTTACAACACGGAGGCTACGGCGGTTGGTCCTGAGACCGGAACCTACAATAACAAGTACCAGTACGACGGACAAGTGGCGTACCCCGAGACCGGTACCGCCACGACGCACACCACGCCGGCCGGCTATCGCTACTAAGCGGGCTCGGACCTGCGACGGATGCATGAGACTGTTGATGAATATGAACATGATGAGGACAAATAGTGCCTTGTACGAAGCAGATATGAACTGGAAGTGATACCCTGCAGGGGTTGACATATGGGACGGTTGTCACGCGCTGCTTTACGGGAATCAGAATGAGATTGCTGGATACAGCTGAGGGGTATGTGGTTGCTTAATGATGATAATTCTGTCGCAAAGTTGGGACTGTGTATCATAATGTGGATGGCCATAGTCGAACCCCTGGATTTCGGGGTCATGACCGGGGATGCTGTAGTTATGTCAGATGAATCAACACGATATTTGTATTCGTGATATCTATCGTCCGTGTTCGCCTTCAGTGTGTATCACTATGCGAATCCGTAGGTTTTGGAGAAATAGGCGTATATCGAAGAGGACATCGGATTCTCCTGGCTTTACGACTTCACATGAGGACATTAGCACTCATTAACCACAATTATTATCATTTTCTTTTTATTTCCTTTTTATTTTCACTCCACCCAACCCTACACACTCAAAGTCCCCTTCGTACTAGGAACCTCCCCCTCTCTCCCCGGTATCCTACTCGTCGCCTGTCTCACCGCGACCGCCAGCGCCTTGAACGCGCTCTCGGCGCGATGGTGGTCGTTTTCTCCCCGCAGACAATCCACGTGCAGCGTCACGCGCGCCGCCTGCGCAAAGCTCTGCAGACAGTGCGGGATCATCTCGCACGACAAATCGCCGATCTTCTCGCGTCGCAGGCCTAGTTCGATGACGCTGTACGGCCGGTTCGAGAGGTCGACGACGGCCCGCGATAGCGCTTCGTCGAGAGGCGCGTAGGCGTATCCGAAGCGCGCTAGCCCGGTTGCGCTGCCGAGTGCGCTGGCGAAGGTGTACCCGAGCGCTATGCAGCAGTCTTCGGCGGTGTGGTGGTCGTCGACTATGGGTTGGGGTGTTGCGTCAGCGGGGTTTGTTCGTTGTTCTTAAGTTATGGGTGTTGTGTGGAGGGGTGGTGGGGGTCGTTACTGTGTAGGTCGCCCTTGCAGGCTAGAGCCAGACTCCAGCCGGCGTGCTTAGCTAGGGCGTGCAGCATGTGGTCGAGGAAGCCGATGCCTGTGTTCACGCTGATGGTTTGGGATTTGCTGGACTGGCTGGCGTGGCCGTTGGTGACGGAGGCTAGTAGGCGGGAGTCGATGTCCGGGGGGAAGTCCCCGCCGTCGAGGTTTAAGGCCAGTTGGATCTTGGTTTCGTTTGTGTCGCGGGCGAGCGCCGCCCACCGCTGGCTAGGTTTTTCGGAGCCCATTGTGGTTGGGTTGTGGAGTAACCGAATTGACTTCTATCGAAATAATTTTTGCAAGTTACTCGGGTAAGATCGTTAAGCTGAACGGGAACAGATGTATGACTTGAACTTTAATCTACAATTTTTAATAGGCCGAGCATCGGCTTAGCTGCAGAGAAAAAAGCTACTGCGGGCAATTGGCCAACCAGGACAAAGCGAATTACTGAATTTGGTTTCACAGGCTCACGCTGCCCCACCTGCAGACCAGCCCCCTCTATCGATAAGAGAAAAGTTCCCAAAATTATTTCTGCTCTACTTTGTACATCCGCGAACTTCAAGTAGCACCGAATTCTTCAAGTTGCCTCTCGTCGCAACTCCACACGACTCAAGATGGGACCATCGCGAACGAAAACAGTCAAGAACAAACATGCGGCGAATAAGTCCGGCATCAGCTCTAGCAAATTGTCGAAAGGAGGCCCGCCAGATGGCGTCAGCAAATCAAAACGGAAGGGTCCGGTTCTTTCGAAGCAGGTGAAGGGTAAAGGTCTCGCCGACCTGCTCAAGAAAAAGAAGAAGAAGGTCTACACCGAGAAGGAACTAGGAATTCCGGAATTGAATATGGTGACACCCGTCGGAGTTACGAAACCCAAAGGGAAGAAGAAAGGCAAGGTCTTTGTGGACGATAAGGTATGTCTACCAATCTAGAACAAGATAAGCATCTTGCGCAATGAAGAGTGCTAACGTATGTCGCTGCGATAATAGGAGAGCATGAACACAATACTTGCCATGGTGCAAGCGGACAAGGATGGCGAGATCGAATCTAAAATGATCAAGGCTCGACAGATGGAGGAGATTCGCGAGGCGCGAAGAGTGGAGGCGGAAAAGAAGGAAGAAGAGAAGAAGGCGAAGCTCGATCAGACCAAGGAATCATTGAGGAGAAAGAGAAAGAGGACAAATAAACCTAATGAAGACGACGCCGATGATGCTGTAATCAAAGAGGCCACCACCTCTGGAACGAGGGCTGCGAAACCGAAAAAGAAGAGAGTGTCGTTCGCCTAGGGCCTAAGAGAGTCAGATGAGTTTCTATATTTCTAGGCGGCGTTTGGGCGTTGATTCGGGCTATTCCTGAGAGCTTTCATATATGAGATTAGCATCAAGGCATTTTCATGATACCCTGAAAACGAAGTTGACCGAATCTTGGTGTCTGTGTACGAGACGATTTGCAATGGATTTATGTGCTTTTCACTTGCGGTCATGCCCAGATATTGCTGGGCGCGATGATATGCTATGCTTCACGACCATATGGGCCTTTCGTGTTTGGAAGTTGATGGTTCTCCCATTTGAAAAGGGGTTGCTGTGTCGAACATATCCGTACGTACAAGTTTTTCATGACTGGTCAGTTACTTTTAATCACCACTCTTAAGTTCGGCTACACAGTTGATTGATTATTTGATCAGAGAAAGCAAATAGAAGATGTCTCCTTAAACATCCCTTTTTCATGAAAATTGTTGGTTTTCTTCACTCTGGTTATCCCCATTTCCGCTGTAAACACGCTTACCAGTTATTTCGGATACAAATTATTTTCTGTCTATTTAACTATTGAGTTTTCCTTTGACTCGTCCACCTCTACACGACGTCGAACATAATCAGCAAAGGCTGGAGCAAGAAGCGAGTTGATGTTAACATCTAGCATCCTAAATTACTGTCTCTCGGGAACGTTCTCGTGTGTAAATTGATATACCCACCCAGACACATACCCTGATAAGCCTAGAACACATCGGCTATGAATTGCCTGTATACCTATCTTACTGATTATATCCATCTTCTTGGTCATGCTCTTATGATATCTTCAATATGTTCTTACTAACGCTTAGTGCTAAGCGGTGGCGGTATCGAGTATCGCTTACGGATGAAAGGTCGACGAACTGCTAGCACGTATTGGGATACGAAGTTCGGAAAACCTTCATCCTATCTTTAGATCAGGCCCTGACATTACGTTAAGTTGGGTATGATTACAAAATTACCTTCTTCAACTTTCATATCTATATGGATACTCATCTTAAGGTATCTAGTTCCTTTCAGACGTAACCCTACTAGATAGGTACCTAAGGAAATTCGGAAGTTAACCCTCACTAAATCTGTATCATGGCTGCAATCTAAGCCTTATAGCAACACAGGTACTGTCTTTCGAGGAACTGTTGGCTCTGAGATTGAACCGGAGGCTCTAAGGGAAGGTCACCTGGGCATGGGGAAGAACGGGGTGGTGGCATTGGCAGTGAGGCTGATTGGAATACTTTTCACTTTATCATATATATCAACGTAGTTACTTAGTAGTATAGTAATGGGTTAAAGGTCGGTAGGGCCCTATCAAACATCATACCTACCTATTGAAGGTTGAATTCAAACCTGGGGACCCAGCAAATAAACCGACGACGCTATATTAAGTCCGTGGATGAATTATATGACTTATTGAGAGTATAAATTTCATGTTCTGCAGTTGTCAACTAAATAGATGTCTTTCCAAGACTTGGTGGAGATTGAGGAGCAATTGAGGAGCAATTTTGCGAAGCCGACGTCGGCTTCTATGATCGTTTCGTCTAAGCGAAAATCTTAGCTCACCAAGCTGAAGCAACCGTCTTTTTATGTTCATTTCTATTTCATGATGAGATACTACTCAAATCTCAGCCACTCATAGGTCAAGTAAGTAAGTTACGAGAAATCAAGTAAGGATGTATGCATTGGTATGACAAAATCATAAGATTCATTGCTGACATATTTATGAACGATACTAGCGATCCTTCTTTAATCTCGCAACCATCATCAATCCTTTGCCTTACTATTCTCTAGCCATGTTTGTTGTCTCGAATACCACCCAATGTAGTTGACCAAGGCAATGAGCTTGTTTGTCTCTAATGTGGATTATGTTTCCTTGGCCAGGATACATGGGTAAGGCTTTTTTTCAGCGAAGAGGCTCACGCGTTGCTATGAAGCTAGTCTAGACTCAAGAGACTACGATGGTACGGTGTATCGCACGCGGCTTGATGTAAAACTAGGATGTAGGCCGAAGCTAACCACTAGTAAAATCTTGGCTTGAGCTCTGAAGAGTTACCTACATGGTGTATTAGATATTGACGGCTTCGACTCCAAATTCTTACAGATCAAATCAAGTTTATGCGTTGGATATAATGTGTGAATATATTTCCTAGTTCATCGAATTCGGATCTTTAAAAGTTAAAATATGATTAATTTCCTTCGCTACTGAGAATAATTTCTTACTGATTATGACGCAATTTGTTGTGGAGGATGGGTGATTTTAGAATTGGTTCAGATGGTTCAGTACCAGGGACTGCGCGTAAGCATCCGCAATGTAAATGAGGCGACCGGGATGGCCCACCCATCGTCCCGGGGACTTGATTCTAATTATTATTAGGCCGGGAGGCTAGACCGATCTAGCTAGTCATAGGAGATCAAGCCTTGATCTTTAAACAACAAACAGAACCGGGCAGTGGAGATGAACGAGCTTGAATCTCGACCATAGCTGGCGAGGCTTCGAGGATGATTACAGCGTAGAAATTTCTGTTGCAACCGGAAACTTGATCCAACTGGTGTGTGATAAACCCAATCCAGATTATCTGCCCACCAAAAGAAATCAATCAATCTGAATCGCGTGGCTCTCCATTAGATCTGCAATTCCTGCAATAGGTACATGCACCGAGGGAATACGAGCTGTTCTACAGCCGCCCATAGGCTATCCTAGACACAACGGGGACAAGTGATATGCAAGAGATATCTTACCTGCCTTAGCTACCCGTGCCTAACCTTGTGTGGGATGAAGTTGATAACTTGTTGCAGTCCCGACTTCGTGTTCCGTGTTCCTGCATACGTCGGTTAGAGGATAGGTACATTTTGGTTTTTGGAGGATGTTTTTTTTGGGCAATATGTCTTAGATTTTACTCATATTATCAACAGCTCTCCAAGGTTGACAACTATCTCTTATTAAAATTATGTAAATAATAATAATAATACCTACAAGACATACATGTACAGCACAGACATAAAAATGGGAATGCAAAAGAGAATTATTACTCGTCAAAAAGAATAGGGGTTTCATAAAGCTTGGCTACATTTGAGAGAGAAAGGAGAAGGAAATATCAGGAGTGGTGCAACATCAAGATGATAATGATGAGGATAACGAGGATAACAAGAGATGGCCGAATGTTTGTAAAGAAAATGCCCGTGTCCCTGGCCAATAATAGATGGTCCTGTCATGTCCCTGGCCGTAGTTGTTTCGTGTGATTGGCTCGTATGTTTATGGCCCCCTTGTCAGAGGGACAACGCTCGACGGAAGCGAAATGAGCAGCAACACCCATCTAGCAAGCTATCGTCCATTTACAGCGAGACAAAGCCCCCCCTAAGCACCCCAAGTTTAGGACCATACGCCATATTCGAGCGTCCGGTGAAGCTAACGATGCTTGGGGGTGTGTCCACTGTTAAGAAGTATCTCATTTTAATTTTTGGTCGGCAAACATATTATCGAAACGCATCCTCCTCCAGGTTTCAATTAATTTCTTTTTTTCTCTCTTTCTCCTTTACCTCATCCTCCTACTTCCTCCCTAACCGTCGAGTTGACCGTTCGTCGCTCTGGTGTCGATGATTCGGTTCCAGCCTATCACGCCAACGATGAGGACCCGGTAACGATCCGAAGGGTTTACAGAAGAGATCGAAGAAGACGAAGAAGCCGCAGAAGTAGTAGAAGAAGGATTCATTAAAAAAAAGAGGAAGAGAGTTTTAAAAAAAACAAGGGGACGATAATAATACGATAATGATGGGATACTGATACTACACTGGACGATCTTCAACCAAACTTAACGTATACATTCATTCATTATCCATTTCGACCTGCCAGTCAGCAGTCAAGCCAGTCTCTAAGCTAGAAGCCGAACGAGTCAAGAAACGCACCGCGCGCCGCCGCTCGATCCCGTCAGCGAATCCGACTCGACTTATTCGACCTAAAAAAAAAACTAGTATTCTAGTACACGCTTACACGCACGCAACTTGGAAAGCTCGTATTTCTCCATTTTCACCGCCACGCGCGATGACAACCCCAGTCTCGGGGTCTTCACTCCCTCAGGCCCGAGACGTACATCAACACAATCATTTTCACAACTCCAGAGACAGCCACAGCCGTCATTATCAACACACCCACCATAACCACCACGCTCGTTCTCAAAATAGCTATAGTAATAGTAACGCCAACTCCAACTCCAACGCCAATGCCAACGACAACGATAACTCCAGTAAAAGGGGCCACAAACGTACTGATTCCGATGAACCCACAATTATCGTTGAGACAGTTTCCGTTCTTCAGATAATCGATTCGTCTGGTGCGACCGTTACTCTTCAAACCCTTACGCCCTCAGGAGGACAGACACCTGCGACTACAATTAATCCTGGATCCGATACTAGCACCGTCGACCCGGCCACTGAATCTGTATCTGCCCAAGGTTTCTCTTCAACTTCGACAGCAACCAGCGACGATGCAGGCGCCGATTCATCAACGACAACTTCCACTCCGACGATAGACCCGACCGTAGCACCGTCGGAGTCTTCGATGCCTACTTCGTTTCCCACATTATCTTATTCGCCTTTGACGTCCACTCCTTTATCAGGCTCTCCCGTTTTTCCTTCCTTGACCGGCGTGACTAATTCGACCCAAGGTCCGTCTTCATCTTTAACTTTATCATCTTCATCTTCATCCTCGTCCTCGTCTTCATCTTCGTTTTTTGCAGTCCCCACTACGTCGCTTTCAATATCTAACTCATCTAAAGCATCGTCATCGACCTCGATCCTTTCCAACAACAGTACTTCTTCTACTTCCACTTCTTCCGTTTTTCCCTTTTCCGCAGAAAGCATCATCGGCTCTGCCACAGCATCATCAGTATTGTCTAGTAGTAGTTCACTTTCTTCTAATTCTTCCTCGTCCGCCTCGGCAACGAGTACCACGAGCTCCGGTTCCAGCTCCGCGTCGATATCCTCCAATTCGTCCTCCGCCTTCGCATCCTCCACCGGATCGGGTGGCGGCGACGTTGGCCTAGGCGGCAATGTGCAACCATCCTCTTCGAGCACCTCGACGGCCGATGGCGCTGATAGCTCGTCCTCTAGCGGGCCTGGTGCCGCCACGGTCGCGGGTAGCGTGCTAGGAGGTGTGGCTGCGCTAGCAGCCATATTGATCCTAGCGCTGTTCCTTCTCCGGTGGAAAAAGCGCCAGAACACCCAGCAGCTCATGCGAGGCTCCGGCAGCGAACGAGGTCCCGGCGGCGCGTTGGTTGGAAATTCCGGCCCCGTCGGCGGAGGAGGCAATGCTGGCAGCATGACGGAAACACGACGTTCGGTCCCCTTCGCGATCCCCGCGGCGCTCGCCAGCTTGACCGGCCACAAGCGAAACTCTGGACGTAGCGGTGCCTCGTCGGACGGTGGCGAAAGGGGGTTTTCCAAGGTGTCCGGGAGGAAGTTGCCTCCGGTGATACAATTTGGAGGCGACGGTTACTCGGACCCTCGAGATACCATGCTGAGCGAGCAGTCGATAGACTACCGGGATTCCCAGGCTTTCCCCGGATTGACTAACGCGGGACCGACCAGGCTAGCCGTTGGTACTCCGATGCGGCCGGAGAGCGGTATCCCTGTTTACAACCCGGGGCCGGCCCGGACGCCAGTTACGGAGCAAGCTCCCTTTACCCCGGACACGTCGCCCCTCGAGCCTCCCCCTAGAGATCCACTTGGACCATCTCGACCTTCGCAGGACGGTTCAAGTCGGTCCCACGCTTCGGTTTCCCGGTTCACCGAGGTGTTATGACCCTTGGATTGATATACCCCCTACCTTTGTGCTTGTATACATTTCGTTTTCTTGATGATACCTGTTTGTTATCTATGTGTCGGCGCCAATATATGCTTCGTCGCAGCATCGGGTTGGCGTTGACATTTGAAATAAAAATATCTCGAAAGGGGTCTCATAGGGGGGAAAGGAAAGGGAATAAAGGAAGGCTAGCTTTCAGCCAACAACACACTTTTTTTTCGCACCTATGTTAGATGCCAAAAAACCATTTCTTGTAAATAGCCAGATGTCATCCGAGCCCCCTTCGGGGTTGGCAGGGACGACGATGGGCATGGCCGTTCACGGAGTCGAGATCGCAGCAGCTGCTTGTCTCCTCCGGGTCTGCTCCTAATCAAGCATAATTATCATCAAACTCTTTCTCACCTATGCTCATCTCGGGACCTGTCTAAGGTCTGTTTTAAGGACCAGGGACTAACGAGCTGTATTATAATGCCGTGGGAAGATATGTTAAGCATACCCAAGGCATTGGTATCAAGTTATTTTAGCCCCGATTAACGGACGGAGCCGAAGAGTTCAGGCGACAGGTCCATACAGTATAACTTGTGTATAAAGGTTCTCAGTGGGCATTATCTCTGCGCACCGCTAGTTCGTTGTGTGATCTACAACCTAGAGAAAATTCCCGGTTGAGATGGGAGGGTTGAGACGTATATGAAACAGGACCGGATCTGGCATCCTCCTACCTACCCACAGACGCTTTGGCCCATTATGACAAATTATTGCGCCGATATTTCATAGTGACATAGCACGTTTAGTCGGTGAAAAGAGAATAGAAAAAGCCTAGCATCTTGGTTTTTTTTCCCCATATGCCTTTGCCCCGGACGAAGCTAACGTTCATATGTCAAGATAGGCTTCCGCCTCCCGCGTAGGTGTTGAGCCTTGACTGTGTGGAGTGGGCTTTCCACCCCCATGCGGGGCGGATGAAACGAAAGCCTATTCTTTCTAGGGTGATCACACCAGACAACTGGGACGCACGTAACCTGGCGCCATGGGGGAACCATTGAAGGATTCAAGCTTATTAACTACCCATGTGTCTACGGTCGGCGGCCTCCCACAACATGTAATCAACTGTTTGAGGCTTGGCCAGTTGGTTGATTATCATGATATGATGTTGTTCGCTTTATGTTACAACTTTATGAGAATACGTCAGCTTATTGGACCAAGACTAACTTGAAGGGATCGTCGGTCGAGGTATGCTGATAACATATTTTCAATCATATGCCATCTGAACAATTCATGAGATCTAAATACGGGGATAAACTTTAGGTTCTTATTAGTCCTCCGAAATCGAATGTTCGTAATCGTAGTTGAACCCGAATTCCGACTCCGATTCTCTATAGCCAGGGGATTCGAGACTAACTTAACTAACTTGAACTAACTACTAGGTAGACTAACCAGACGAACTAACCAATGCGTGCTATGCGTGGGGATGAAATTACCAAAAAGAGTAGGAGGGGTTACGTATTAGTATCTAGCACTTAGCGTTAGGTGCTTGAGTTTCTAAGTCTTAAAGGAACAGGCGTTGGTAGAAACACCGCAGCAAATTTTGCACCTCCTTGGCGCAATATTACGTCTCGAGTCGACTTGGGTTGACTTGGGTTGAACAGGTACATACGGTACATACAGTGGCGGCGTGGCAATTGCTTGATAAGAAACTTGAGATGATTATTTAGAGGGATTGCGTATCTGAAATACTCTAATGTGTATGTGTGGCAGGACCCTGCCGGCACTCAGGCAAAAAGATCCCCTCAAAATGCAACGCTACTTGATGCACCTATTAATACCAGGGAATCCCTTATAAACAAGGTAGTATTTACCTAGTATCACAGACCTTCAGGTGGTGGTAGGGTGTCCTCTGATTCGTAGATATCTTCAAGAACCACTGAATCGTTGTCAGGACTAGGAGTGAAGAAAGTCATTGCACATCCCCGAGCGTCCGTACCTTGCCTACTAGTTGGCTGGGCTGTTGGATCAACGGATACATCCATACATCCATTCATACGTCAAATAGTCTCAGACGAAGATTTCCTTCCAATGTCTCAAACCTTGCAATTCTTGATTTTTTTTTATTTCCTTCCTCTTCTATCGAAAGAAAAAAGAAAGAAGGTGATCTAGATTTATCTTAGAATTTGATTTTCTGATAGATGATAGCGCCTTAATATCTATTTATTTTTTTCTTCAAGCCACGCGGGACGGTAACCCAACTTGCATATCGAAACTCCTAAAATATCTCTGATCTCTTACCTATCAAAGTAGGCCGTGCCCAGGCCATTCTACCAAGTTTAGAAGAAAACGAGTACGAATCCGCGAATCTGATGCTCGGCGTTTAAATCCGCCCCGGCCCCCTTAGATAACTTACCGGGCGAATTACAAGCTCGCTTCAGGTCTTAGCTGGTACAAGTCGATTGGTCATCTCGCCTTAGCTCATAAAGAGAGAGAGACAAGGGCATCGATCGTTCACACGGTACAGCCACCAGGAACTCGGGCTTGCTCGTGGAGACTTTTAAATCCGCGGATTCCTGGTACTAGACTAAAGTACCTACCCAAAAGTTACCTAGATCGAATTGTTTCTACAAGAAAAACGTCAACCTACATTTACCTTAATTAACCTAATCAATCCCCTACGAGCCCTACGAGACTATCCTTGTGGCACCTCCATAGCCGCACCTACGATCCCTTTTTAATAACCCTAAAGTGAACGACCACAGACCACAGACGATAGACCAACACGACGAAAGCTAGATGATGGATCATATGAGAGTTGATCCTGGGGGCTTCCAGATACCAGGAATGCCCCGTCCACAACTCATGAACCAACCGCCACAGATCTTCGGAGCTTACGGCCATGAGGGTTTGTCCGTGTTACCACCGGAGCTCGCGGCCCAGATGGCCTTCGACCCATCAGCGCTTCTTGACGATGCGAACGAGGCAAAGAGGAGGAGAATCGCAAGGGTGAGCTCTTATACACTTTAGGTAGTGTCTATACTCGCGTGCATAGACTGACATAACCGTTGAAGGCTTGCGACATGTGCCGGAAGAAGAAAATAAAGTGCGACGGGAAGCTCCCGGCTTGCACGCATTGTATCAATTACAAGACAGATTGTGTCTTTACACAAGTTGAGAAGAAGAGAAATCCCCCGAAAGGGTATGAGCACAGACTAAGTACCACCGACAAGCTTCGTATAAGGCTGATTTGAATCTCTAGTGCAAAGTATATCGAGGGTTTAGAAAACCGTTTGGGACGGATGGAAAGCTTGTTAAGGTTATCAGGTAAGTCCTAAGTCGTCGCCTTGTGCCATAAACCCACACACCGACCATTCTAACTAATGCGACCCAAGGCCTACTTGGAGATGACGATGAATCGACCGACCTTGCTACGTTAGAAAAGCGCCTCTCAGAGAAACACCAACAATCTAGACAAGCTTCACAAGCACTAACCTCGAATCCCACATCACCTTCACAAGCAACTTCCGGTCACGATGGCACGGTGTCAACCCCGCGGAGTTCAATAACGTCACCAGAACCGAGTAGAGAAAGAGACTTCAGGAAAGACCATTCTCCTCAACCAGAAAAACCAAGAGACGAGGAAGAAGTAGAAGCACTATCAGAAATGATGTGCTCGTTGGTTACGAACCAATCAGGGGAAACGAGATATATAGGTAGGTGCCCGCAAGCTAGTCGGCTGCATGCATATCCGCTAACATGGCGCCAGGATCCTCCTCCGGATTTTCGATATTCTCACCAAAGGGCATACAGTGGGTGAACGAAAAGACAGGGGACACATCATTTCAACAGATGATCTCCGAAGTCTCCATTGATGATCATAAATGGAATCACTGGAAACCCGAGATCTTCAGCGATCTTTTTCATCGTCCCGTCTACCGGCCATTACCACCTAAGCCTGAAGCGCTATCCCTGCTTAAGGACTACTTCGACAACTTCAACTGCATGTTCCCGTTATTCCACCAACCAACTTTCATGCATCTCGTCGAGAGGCAGTACTCCAATGACCCCTACCAAGGTTCCGGGTGGTGGGCGAGTTTGAACGTCGCTTTGGCTATTGCGCATCGTCTTCGAGTTATGAGTAACCTTGTGCCGCAGGAAGATGATGATAAGTCGTGGGCGTACATGAAGAATGCCATGGGCGTCTTCTCTGAATTAACGATGCGCAATACCGATCTACTAAGCGTACAGGCTTTACTTGGAATGGCCTCCTTTATGCAAGGTACCCCCAACCCACAACCCTCATTCTTACTCGTCGCAGCAGCCATTCGGTTGTCACACAGCATCGGGCTGCATAAGCGTGGAAGTGGGTTTAATCTCAACCCAGTTGAGATAGAGCAAAGAAAACGTGTGTTCTGGATAGCGTATATGCTGGACAAGGATTTATGTCTTCGATCCGGACGTCCCCCGGCACAGGACGACGACGATATGAACGTCGAACTTCCAGATGCGGATCCTATGGACAATATCGGCAACATCCCTCTCGCCGATGGGAAGGGAAAAATGAATTTGTTCCGAGCAATGTGCGAATTAACGGTGATCGAAAGCCAAGTTTACAAGAAGCTCTACTCTACCAAAGCCACTAAGCTGTCAGAGGGCGAGCTGTTACAAACTATTGGTGAACTCGACAAGCAACTAGAGACATGGAAGGACAACATCCCAATCGACTTCCGCCCAGAGCACGAAATAAAGGCATCTCACACCCCTCTCATACTACACGTCGTCATGTTACATTTCTCATATTACAACGCCCTTACCACCATCCACCGCATGTCTGTACATCACGGCTATTGGACAAGCCGATTATCCAACTACGCGATCCAAGGTCTAAACGCCAGACCATTAAACCCGCGCGTGTTCGCATCCGCAGCTCTATGCGCCTCCGCCGCCCGAGCGAGCATCCAACTACTAAAGTACATCCCACAAGGCGATTTCTCCTGCGTGTGGTAAGCAACACTCCCTCTTCCCCCTCCCAGCACCCACCGTTTCCTAAACTAACCATTCCCAATCTAGGCTCATCCTCTACTTCCCCGTATCAGCACTAGTAACGCTCTTCGGCAACATCCTGCAGAACCCCCTCGACCCGCGCGCAAAATCCGACACCAAGCTCATGAACCTCGTGGTAACCTTCCTCTCAACCCTCGGCCAAGAAGCCGAAACAGGAGGCGTCCACCGGATGCTCGGCGTATGTTCCGAATTCGAGCGGATCGCCAAAATCGTAATCGACAAAGCCGAGCGGGACACCTCGAAGCGGAAGCGCAAGAGCCACGAGCCCGCGCACCGGCCCTCCCTCGCGACCGTCAACTCGCCGTCGGCAATGTCGCAGACGACACACCATACCCCGCGCCCGTCGTCGTCGGCCGCGACCCCGACACCGAGCTACACCACGCAGCTGTCGCCGAAATTCAACGGGGAGCAGAATCGCGCGAATAATAGCAGTAATGGCGGGTACAGCCCCATGAACACCGCGTCCTCGACTACCGGCGCCGCGCCGCGGGATGGTCCCGGCGGCTGGCCTAGTCCTGGGCCATCGCACACCCACTCCCAGTCACACTCCCAATCTCAACAGCAGCAGCAGCAGCAGCAGGAATGGAACCCCAACGCGATGGACTTCGGCAACTTCTCGGAGTTCACCGGGTTCGGGCAGCCCATCGCGTCGCCGCCGTTGCCGGGGCAAAACGGGTACCAGCCGCTGCTGCCGCAGGAGCTGTGGCAGATGTCCGGGGGCTTGGACTGGGATTGGGCGGAGTTCACGGGCGGCGCGTACCCGAGCTTTGAGAATGGGAAGACGATGGAGGGGGGGAGGAGGGATGGGATGGCGTGATTGGATCCTATCTACCTGCCTAGTACCTACCTAGTAGGTAGGTAGTATGTGTGCTGTATAGATCTCTGTGCGCGGCGGGGCCTCGATATAGCGCAGGCGATTTATTCTGTTCGCGGGTTTCGACGGATATGCGGGAAAAGAAAGGATGTTTTTGGTTTTGGGGGCGGAGAGGTTGGGGCATGGGTTTGGGCGTGATGAGCATTTTAATGGTAATGAAGATGTTGGCGTGGGAGATGGTTCTTGAGTTTGACTGTCAAAATTCAGGGGTGTCTTCTTTGTTTTTTTACGTTTGGTTTGGTCTGGTTCTGAACGCGAACGCGATATGTTACTGTGACGGCCGACATCTACCTATTTAGCTCATGAGGAGTTTCATTCTTGATTTTTTGGTTTTTGGTTTATTGTCTTGCTCTACGTACATATAGGTTGGTATTGTATAATGAGTTGGGATACGATGTTCAATTGGTAACTCACCCATCTACCTCGGAGGTAGCTAGTAGATAGCTAAGACCTGTGTATAGAATTTACTTGATAACTACCTACTATGCCTTCTATATTTTTGCGGCGTGATAATTTGTTTTTGAATAAGTTTGATTATCAAGCGCATGTAGGTAGATTTGGATACGATAACTAAATAGATATCTCATCGTTTTTCGAAATTGCCGCTGGAAATCGCCGTTACCTGCAAACCTGCGTACTGTAACTAGTTCTGGGTTAGGCGATTACGATAACAGGTAGATCAGCGTTTCAGATTGTAACAGCTTGGCTAAGTGACATGCATCATGAACCCCGTCGTCTAAGCGTTGGTCTAATCGAAAAGAGGGGATGTTGACGTTGTACTGAGAAACCTTCGGCCGAGATCGTCAACCTTGACTAAGCTCGGTAAGTCACAACCCCATTTCGTAGATTCTCCCTCATTGTTACCTAGAATTGATTTCACGATACCCAAGTATGTCTCATTGCCATTTCCCTGCCATTTGTTTGCTCCGGTGGTGCTAATGGAATTCAATAGGGGAATTACAAGCATGGCCCAAGTCAAAACTGAACAGCTCCACCCTGGTGATCAACACGAGATCCCGAGTTTTGAGGCCCATGAATCGTCTGAATCGCTCAAGGGTAGGATTAAGAAGCACTATGAGATAGCTTCGGATTACTACTATTCCCTATGGTACTTGATTTCGTCCCATTAACACCTACATACTAGGTACCTAGTAGTTATCGCGACTAAATTCTGGTAGGGGACAGCACATACATCACGGCTTGTTCAAATCTGCTAGCGAAACAAAGGAGCAGGCTCAAGTAAATCTCATCAATTACCTACTTGAGATCTCGGCCCTACCAATAGGCTCCAAGGTACTTGATGTCGGATGTGGTATTGGTGGCACAAGCAGATTTCTTGCAAGGGAGCATGGCGCGGATGTCACGGGAATCACGATTAGCGGGCGACAAGTCCAGATCGCAAAGCAATTGACCAAGACGGAGATAGGCAATACTTCCACCGCCTCATCGGATGACTTCAAGTACCCGGGCAAAGAGGGTAAGCCAGACGGCACAGTCCGCTTCCTTGAGCTCGACGCCGAGAAAATGCTCGAACACTTTCAGCCGACTGTTGGGGAGGGAAAGTCCTTCAACTGCGTATGGATCTCGGAGGCCTTGTCGCATCTACCAAACAAGGAGCTCTTCTTCTCTTCTTCTTTTTCGCTTCTCCAAGGTGCAGGATCACGGCTGGTAATCGCAGACTGGTTTAAAGCGCCTGGCCTATCTCCCGAGCAGGAGGAAGCTGATATCAAGTCGATCGAGGATGGCATGCTCCTCCCCCGCCTATATACAGCGGACGAATATGTGGCATTTGCGGAGCGGGCTGGGTTCAAGATTCATCAGAAACCGATTGATATAAGCAAGGACGTTGCTAAGACATGGTAAGTTCTCTCTCTCCTCCCTAATCTTGGTTTACTGGTTGATTTGGATATATAGGGATATATCGTGGACTCTTGTATCGTCCCCTTCACTATGGGCATTCGCCATTTCTCAGGGTCGCGACGGGCTATCATTTTTGCAAGCGTTTAGAGCGATGAGAAGAGGATATGCGAATGGGACGTTTAGGTATGCGGTCATGTGTTTCGAGAAGCCTTAAGTATGAGTTGTATGTTGTTTATCGTGTAGATATGTGTTCATACCTCTGAATATACACTAGATCGAGTCAACGCATCGCATCGCATCAACCATGACAGCTCATGGACACGGCTATCAAACTGTGGTTACTATGCGAAGATAAGGGCATATAATGTAATGATATATGGTACCCAAAGAAGCTGCCCGCTCCTGTATGATCGGTAGATCCTCATGTTCTATGCGAAACGTTGCTCTTAATAGACTTCCAGATATCATACCATCAGCTTAAATCACTCAGATTCATACTAATCTATGTGAGTGTGCATACATACACGTAGATCACTCCACGAAAGAAAAATATGGTTAGCTAGACAAGCCATGCTTCCACGTATGAAAGAAGCTGAGAAGGATCGACTCCTCGTAATGTAAATGCTAATAGTTGGGTGGGTTCGAAAGTATTATATAAACGGATTGGGACCGGGAAGTTCGATATAGTTGATTATTCACTTAGCAGTGATTGCGATTTTATATGAGATGGTGTCTTTACTTGACTGGCTAGACTTTCACGTTACTCGTCTGGTTTATAAATACCGGAGAGGAGGAGTTTCTTGACAGATCAAGTAACACACCCACACTGCACACTGTTAAGTCCGAGGCGATGAATACAAAGATCCCGCGTCTGACGTATCGAACTAAGCCCCGAGAGGTAGTGCTCACTCAGTAGTGTCCCGTGTCTTGGGTGTTTGCACTATATAACGCCACAATGCAGGCATGCCGGAAACTTTCTAGGGCAGACACTCACCGTAACTACAGCGATGTTTAGAGCTAGTAACTAGCATAAGGCCGTTAGCTCGCTAGAATCTGATGTCGCGTGCTCTTTGAATCAGCCGTCAGATGCTAGCGCTAATATATGGAAGTTTTCGGGCGTTGCAATAGCTTCAACCTACTAGTAGAAGCGAGATTACCTAGACTCGATGTTTGCAGATGATCTCAACCTGGGTAAGATGTAATTTGTACTCAACGGCATATTTATTTAGCCGCATCGCGATCATTCTGCCTGACAAGTAGATGCCTGCCGTAATGCTGCGTTGGGCTTTCAATCATCACTGATCAACATTCGGCAATGATCACGACGACATGACTACCTAATAAGAATGGGATACATGGATTGATATGCCTTAAGGGTTGGAAGGAGTATCAGCAAAATTCCGGGCCAATGGAAAATGTGATGAACACACCCTTCATGCTCCTAACGATTGACATATTGTGACACAGAGGCTCTGAATGAGAATGAGACAAGTTCATCGGCGCCGCGTTGCAAGAACTTCAAAGAAGCAAGATGGGAGAATGAGCTTAAGAAGCCAAGAAGATCGCGTCCTTCCCGAAACATCATAGCGATTGACGAGCTGCAATGCGGCACGGCAACACACATGGGGTAGTAGCGTCGCGTAGCCGTTGGCATAACCGATTCGGACGATCTTCTAGAAAAAATTTACGACGATCTCGGCGACACTAAGACATGCCTTTGAAATTCATGAGTCATGATATTTGACATTGGACGCTCACCGTTCGCGAGAAGGGATCTAGTTCTACGTCCGAAGCTTGGCGCATCGTGTGGGTTTCCTTAGGCTCGAGATAGATTGTAGAGTGTAGTAGCGGTGATGCGTCTGTCAATTGGAGCTGCGACTCTGTATATTAGCCTGGAAATGCTTATATCTCCGCATTCTGGAGAATATTGATCACAAGAGCCTCTTGTGTGGAGAAGGAAGCTGCATGAAAGAAGTAAGCGGTAGGAGTTCCCCAGAACGGACGAATCGATGTTTGAGCTTGGTGGATATATTCCATGGCGTGCCATGCTCTTCAAGCTCGTCGGCTCGAGTGGAGACGTTGGACTAGACCGTTGACAGGCTCGGCGGTTCATCAGACGAAATGTGTACCTAGGTAGTCGTCCTGGTCATCTTTGAGAACAGACGGCCGTATCGAAAAAACTTCATCTTTAGAGACATCCTGATATCGTAGTTTGAATAACCGCCTCTAAGGAGCTCTAAGGAGGTTATTGTGATACGGAGTGCATGCGTTTCGGCTATCTTTTGACGCCATAGACTCCTGTGGGAATATTGATGAGATCTTGTAAAAAAGGGTACGAAAGCACAGACTGTCTGAGTGTGCTGAACTTCGTACCTAAAGGCGAGATTAGCCATGGCTATTCCAAGCCTCGTGGCATTTCAGATCGGAAGAATCCGGGTCGCCTGCAAGGATCAGCCGAAGACGTATGGAACACAAGAAAATTCGGGACTCGTCAGCCCTGTCAGCCCCATTCATCAGTGTAAGTGATCCCTTGCAATATCGTGATCAATTTCGGGCTGGTGCAAGATTGGGTCTCCAAAATCCAACTTTTTTTCTCGTGGATTCTCATGGATAGGGGCAGAGGGGTTGCTTGGGCACTTACGTATGATTGTTAATGATTTCGTTAGTCAACAGTTGGAACTATTTAGTCATGTCATTCCACTATTTCTCTACATAATACGATACGTACCTCTAGTGCCGAGTATCTTTACCCCAGATATGTACTCCGTCCTTTGAGAAACCCCGACAGTTGACTGTTGACGGAGTACAGCATGAATGGGATTCTGCGAAGTGGCAGAAGGGGTAGAAGGAGTAGAAGGGGGCATCTACTAATCTAGACCCCAACTTTTGAGAGGTGAATGAAAAAGGAATGGTTCCAATGGCTCCTTCAACGATTGCATGTACGTTATCATATCAAATCAGAAACATTGGACGGTCCCAAATCGACAATCTGGCTTATGCAGGCACACCCAAACCGAGCCTTATTGGTGCGTGCCGGACAGGTTAGAAAAAGTCGGGACTGCGGGATCGACGGACATGCAACCTGCAACGACAAGGATTAAGGGTGAATCCGATCCCCCAAACCGACCGGAGTCCGTGTTGCAAGGTAGAGAAACAGTATCATAAAAATTTTCGTCAAATTTCGTCAATGTTGCTGTCGCTGTATGAAGTACCTACATAGTGAACATGTTTCGAGATCTAAAATCGATCTGGTGTAAAGCATTTAGGTATATCCTCATTGGTTACAGAATTTGAAGCTAATCATATTCTTCTTTTTTAGTCAACTGATATTAATTATTCCTCGTGCGCTTATGGTTTATCTAAACCGTGACTTGAACTTGAACATGCGAAGAGAAAGAGAAAAACTACATCGAAAAAGTCCACCGTTGGGTCCAGGATAGTTTCCCCGGACCAATTAAGAGCTGCATTACTTTCCTAATTCGGATCATCTTTCTCTCTCCTTGGACACCGGTCCTGTAGGGTCCTGTACCTAAAGTGTCTAATGTATCTATTCCCGTTATCAACCTAGTCATTGTAGTCATAACCTTCATCGGTATGGGGGAAACTACCTACCTAGTATCTAATTACTCGTACACGGAACAGGTACCTATTCTTACATCTCTCTACTTTCTACTAACCGGGTCCCAACAAAATTTTCATCTGTCATCCATGAAGGTGGGAGAAAAAAGGGAAATTCGACGAGTCTAAATTCGAAATGTAAATCGTAAATCCTTCATCCATCATGTTTGTTTCCCACTTTGTCGTCATTCATATTAGAGTCTTTCTTTTTTCTCCATCTTAAAGATACTGCGATACTGCGATACAACTATATGATACTACGATACTTTGATACGCCCATGCCTATCCTATGTCTATGCTGATCTAGGCAAGCTTGGATTGGACGACGGAATACTTGCAAATCTTGGTAAATACTAAAAAGACCGTGCCCTTTTTGGTACATTTTGTACATTTTTCGGTACAGTATTCGGTACACTTTTTACCTTTTACCTTTCGTCTTCCCTATTATTCGTTCCGTAACTTGCCGATCAGCCGTCCCCCCCTTAATAAACCCCCCCCTTTTGGTTATTAACAAAATACTACAGCGATCTGAACCAGCTGGACCTAGTGTTTGATACCCTATGAAACCCCAACGAAACCAGGGCTCGCGCTTGTCACAGCTTGCACGACTCCGTGTAAGTAGTCCAATGAGGAGGGCATCGAACATATTGAGACTATCAGGAATATGTCGAACAAGGGTCCTCGGTCCGCCTTGCACTAGCAATGGACGGTCATTACTATTAAGAAGCTGGTCTGCGCCTGCGCATGTCATCGTCAACAACCACGATCTTAAGCTTGACCTTGACCTTGCTGTAGCCGGACGACGGACTTTGATTAATCATAACGGCAATAATAGAAAAGATTACACGAAGACTCTTCGGGACAGTAATCAGCAGACACACCACCACGATCACCCACATCATCACCCACATCATCCACCCGAACCTAGTTCCTTGCATTCCTTGCATTCCGGACTTTTCTCTTGCAGCACTACTGGTAGTGGTATCCGAAAGAGGGAACCATCTTCTACGCCTCTTCCTCCGTACACGTTACCCTTCACGTTACTTGCACCTGGTTCATCTGCTTCTGATAGCGTTAGCTCTATCGGACAGCCCTTCATTCGTCCAACTGCTCCGTCTTACCCCATCAACTCAACATCCAACCGTTGCTTTTTAATACTTCCGCACCGCCCATCACCGAGACGTCCAATGGCGTTTAGCACTTACAGCACCGCCAGTTCAGATATATCAACGCCTCGCTCTGCTTCTCCTTCCTCATCCATCATCTCAGCGCGTTCATCCCAAACCTCCGTCTCCAGTAAACGTCTCTCCTTATCCCTACAACGGAGACAATCTGCCCTGAACCCAATGTCCTCTGTCGATATATCCGCAATCGAAGAACAGATGAAGATGGCCGCCTTAGACGGTCTACGAGGCTACGCCCAAAACCACTACGGCGAGGTTCAGCAGTATAGGTCGACGGACTACGTTCCGCAATCTTCCGCCGGTGGTTACCAAGTATTGCGAGAACCTCTGTGGAACAAAGGTAATTATTTGCTTTGCTAGCTTATTTCCATAGCTCCATTCTCTATTCTCCATTCCCCCATTCCCACCTTAGCCGTCCACTGACGCCTAAGCCAAATCTCTAGGTCTCTCCTTCACCCCGGATGACCGCGTCTCTAAGAACCTGACGGGGTTACTCCCCCACGCCATGGAGAGCGCGGACACGCAGGTTGCTCGGTGCATGAAGGTGATCAACTCTAGACAGACCAACATCGACAAGTACATGTACCTGTCGTCGCTCAAGGACCAGAACGTAGATTTGTTCTACCGTGTGCTCATCGACAATGTCCGTGACCTGATGCCCCTAGTCTACACCCCCACCATCGGCGACGTGTGTCTGCAGTACTCCACGCTCTACACGCGCCCCGAGGCATTGTACATCTCCATCAAGCAGCGCCGGTCCATCAAGACCATCCTGCGCAACTGGCCCTACCCGAATCCCGAAATCTGCGTCGTCACGGACGGATCCCGTATTCTGGGCTTGGGCGATCTCGGCGTCAATGGTGTGGGGATTTCCGTAAGTTCTTTTTTTGCTCGCGAGCATGGCTTGGCCTACATTAGTGTACCGTGCGGATGACCGTGGTTGCTGACACACGCACGTCTAGATTGGCAAGCTCGCTCTCTACACCGGTGCAGCTGGTATCCACCCCAGCAAGACCCTGCCCATCGTCTTGGACTCCGGCACCAACAATGAGACCAACCTCAAGGACCCCCTGTACCTGGGTCTGCGGGCCAGGCGCCCTTCCCCGGCCGTCGCCCAGGAGTTCATGGACGAGTTCATGGAGGCCGTCACTGAGGTGTACCCCAACATGGTGGTGCAGTTCGAGGACTTCGAGACGGAGAAGGCGTTTAACTACCTCACCCGTTACCGGAACAAGTACAGGTGCTTCAACGACGACATCCAGGGAACTGGTGCCGTCGTCTTGGCAGGGTATGCACAATCCTATTCCCCCGTCCAATTGAAACTTGGAACTTACTAATGCCCGTGCAGGTACATCGGTGCCGTGAACCTATCCGGTGTTCCGCTCGAAGAGCAGCGTCTCGTCTTCATGGGCGCTGGCTCCGCTGGCGTCGGTGTCGCAAAGCAGATGGTAGAGTACTACACGCGACGCGGGCTCTCCGAACAAGCCGCGAAGGAGAAGTTCTGGCTCGTCGACACCAAGGGTCTCGTGACCAACGACCGAGGCGACAAGCTAGCGGATCACAAGAAGTACTTCGCCCGCAACGACAACGCCGGCCACCAGTTCCGCACTCTCGAGGAGGTCATCGAGTACGTCCGACCATCCGCTCTCGTCGGTCTAACCGCTACTTTCGGCGTCTTCACCGAGTCCGTTGTTCGCGCGCTCAAGGCCTCTGTCGACGCCGGTGGGTCTGGCCGCCGACCTATCCTCTTCCCTCTCAGCAACCCCCTCACCAAAGCCGAGTGCACCTTCGAGCAGGCTGTCCAGTGGACAGACGGCACCGTGATCTTCGCATCCGGGTCTCCCTTCTCGCCATTCGCCGTCAAGGCAGGCGACCACGCCGTAACCTACTGGCCCAACCAGGGTAACAACGTGTACGTGTTCCCCGGTCTCGGTCTCGGCGCCATCCTCTGCAAGGCATCCAAGATCACCGACGAGATGGTATACACCTCCGCGTCCTCGCTCGCCGAGTCCCTGAACGCCGAGGAGGTGCACAAGGGCCTGATTTACCCGCGCATCGAGCGCGTCCGAGACGCCAGCGTCGTCGTCGCTCGGGAAGTAATGAAGGCGGCCCGCCGCGAAGGCGTGTCTACTTTGTCTGAAGAACAGTGGGTTGAGTGGGAAGAATGGGGCGATGTGGCCCTGACGAAGTTCATCAAGGACAACATCTACAACCCCCTCACCAAGTAACGAGTTGAAACGACAGACAGACAGCTTTATAATAGAGGAGGGCGACGGGAAATGCATAAAGATTCATGGCCGGCGTTATCGGGTGGTTTGACATTTTCTACCTTTTTTTCTACCTTTTTTTTATTACCTATTTCTCAAATAAACGTTGGCGGCATACTAGTGGCCGACAACACACGCGCGCACGTACTTCGCTTCGAAGGAAATATTTAAAGATATCCCCTGGGTTTTATTTTACAGGCATCACACTAGAAGGACATCGATGGATGGAAACAGTGGTCTTGAAGGCTAGATAGTGCGAGGGATAGATTGGCACTTACGCTGGCATAGGGGTCTATAGACGGCTAATAGACTAAAAGGGACACACTTTCATTCTGATTATAATAATCGTCACGTTTGATGCTGTTCGTTGAATACATGTGATTTGTCGTGCAGTATACTGGGTGTATAACACCTGATAGAGGGTTATATCATTGACATATGGGTCACAGGTAAGCATCAACTTTCACACAAGTCTCGCTAGCCTTTCATTCTTGAGGTTTTGACCTTGTATTGTTTAATCATGAGCTGACTATCGCAGGTTACGGGCAGACTTTGGTGTCGAGGGGTATCATAAGAGAAGCCTGCCTTCCCCAATCGTGAAGATCCAAAATCGCCAATCTTCTCGGCCATGTTCCAATAGAGCTACTCATGGTATGTGCCGGGATCACGAATCGGGTGGTTTTTATGGTAACTATCCCAGGTCCAGTCCGCGTATTTGTACTCTCCACACACGCCAGATGGAGTCGCTGTAGGGCTAGGTCGACTATACTGGTCATTTCCGTATTCGCCTAAGGATTGGTTTACGTCGCCGTTATCGAAGTCTTGTAAATTCGCCTCGGGTGGTGAATAATCCTCGCTTGTGAGCAGATTTGGAGATGCGTCATAACTGCTGTTTGCCTGGCTGGGAGGCACTGTCGACTGCCTATCCCACCAAATGCCGTCGAACCTGGGGTCTGCTGGAGATCTGCTGGACAAAGTTCCGCCAGCTTGGTAGGGAACGACGGTGAGTAAGTTCTGTGATGAGGTATAATTATGTGTGCTCTCTCTATCGCCTTCGTAAGAAGTCGGGTACGTGATTTGCTTGGGTTGTCGCGCTGATGTAATTGCCCCTATCCGAGAGCTCTCGCTAATTGAGCTAGAATGGTTTCTATTCGACAGCTGCGCACTCTGACGCTCATTGCGACTCGATTTGTCTGTATATTGCTTGCGCCCAAGATGTTCCGTACAGAACGTCGAACTGTGTGTGTCTAGGTATTTGCCACAGTTGAGTTTGCTGCACAAGCCCCGAGCCTTTTTCATTTGTGTCATCTTTTGCCCCTTGCAATAAGTACATGGCAATGATGTGCAGACATGTGTTTTCTTGAGAGAGGGCATATTGGGAGTCGTCTTGTCGATTAAGAAGGTTGATACTTGATAACGTTATTCGGGATTTTTTTATGAAGAGAATATAGCACTCGATGACGGGTAGTTACTTCTGAGAATCTATGTATATATAAATATCAAGTTCACCTACTCGCCTACTTCGTATCCGAAGGCTCTACATCATGCTGCAAATTGCAGTGATTGAGAGAGCTGTGATGCAATTGGCGTATGCCTGATTGGGTTTGTATGGTCAGACTGAATCCCATTTGGATTGTCAATATAGTCAGGAGTAACAGACTTCCTATGATTTGAGGCCAGGAAACCGACTAACAAATCTCTTTTCATAGTTCTAAGTTAGTACCTACATAGCTATTATACCGGGAGATATTGGAGGGCAGTAATGATTAGAATTATCTTAAATCGCTTGGTATTATAATAACTATACTTTTATTATTGGATGATTGTATGGTTTAAATTATTGTAAATAAGTTTAAATTATTGGAAAGAGGTTAATATTATTGAAGAAAGGTTTAAATTATTGGAAAAAGATATTATTAAAAAAAGTTATTATTAAAAAAAGTTATTATTAAAAAATTTTATTATTGGAATTTTATTTTATTATATTTTTATTTTTCGTTATTATTTTTATTATTTTTAAGTTTATTAATTTATAATATTAAAATAATATTTTAAATTATTAAATTTTTTAAAATATTAATATATTAATAAATTTAAAAATTTAAATTTAAAAATTTAAACTTAAAAACTTAAATTTAAAAACTTAAATATAAAAACTTAAACTTAAAAATAAATTTAAAAATAAATTTAAAAATAAATTTAAAAATTTGGAAATTTAAAAAGTTAAAAAGTTAAAAAGTTAAAAAATTAATAATTTATATATTTATAAATATACGCGTATAAAAATAAAAAATAAAAAATAAAAAAAAAATAAAAAAAATAATATAAAAAAAATATAAAAAGAAAATATAAAAAAAATGTAAAAAAATAATATACGAAGTAAAAAATAATATATAAAATAAAAAATAATATAAAAAAAATAAAATAATATTAAAAATTTTAAAAAATTTATGAAATTAAAAAGTAATAATATTATTAATTTTATTAACGGTTATTTAATTTAAATTTAAAATTTTTTAATAATTATAAAATTTTTTTAATAATTATAAAACTTTTTTAATAATTTAAATTTTTTTTTAATAATTTTAATTTTTTTTTAATAATTATTTTTATTTTTATAATAATTATATTTATTTTATAATAATTATTTTTAAGTTTTTAATTATTATTTTACTTTTTTAATTATTATTTTTATTATTTTTATTATTATTAATTTACGATATTTCCCGTTATAATATTTATTTTAATTATTATTATTTTTTTTTAAATGCGTTATTTAAACGTATTTATTAAATAACGAAATAAATTTTCGTAATTAATTAAGAAAAAAATTAAAATACATGTTATTTTTATATTCGATTTATTTAATAAGTTTATAAATTTTAATAAAATTATTTATTATTATTAATTATTATATAATTTTTTAATTATAATTTTTATTTTATTTTAAAATGTATTAATATTTTAATTTTTAAGTTAATTTTTAATTTTAATTAAAAATTAAAATATCGTAATTAATGTATATAAATACCTTTATAAAAACGAACGAATCGTTATAAAATGAAATTTTTTATTTCGAAAAATCGAAAATATTAAGTTTTTTCGACATTTAATAAAAAACGGTAAATTATAAAAATAAATTTATTAACCCGTTAATTTAATTAATATATTAAAAAATATATTATATAAATATAATATACGATAAATATATATTATGTTTTATAATTTAAAAATTAAAAAGTTTATAAATTATAATACGTATAAATAAATATTTATTAAATAAATATAATAAGTTTTTTTATTTTTATAAAAATATTAAAAAAATAAGTATTTATTTAATAATATTATAATAATTATTAATTAAATTAAATTTTATTATATTTAAATATTTAATAAATAAATAAATATATAATTATTATTTATTATAATATTAAAAGTTATAATAATAAAAATAAATTAATTTAATTATTTTATTATATTATTTAAGTTTTTAAATTTTATTAATATTATTACGGCGACGTTATTATTAAATATTTTAAAAATAATTTATATAATAATTAATAAAAGTTACGAAATATAACCGGTTTATTAATAATATATTTACGAAAATATAAATATTTTTTTAATTAACGTATTTTTCGTAAACGGTAATTAAAACCCGGTAATAAACGTAATTAAAAAAAAAAACTTCGTTAAATATTAAACGGTATATATTAAAAGTAAAATGAAAATAAATTATATACGAAATATTATATATTATTAAGTTATTTTAATTTAAAATAAACGTTATTATATTATTATTAATTTAATAATTATTCGAAGATTTTTAAAATTAAAAAAAAAAAATTATTTACGGTTTACGCACGATGTAATAAAAATATATATACTTTAAAAAAATTAAAAGTAATATAATAAAAAACTTTATAAAAATAAAAATAAAGCGTATTTTTTTAAAGAAATTATTTAATTACGAAGAATAAATTTTTTTAAAAGTAAAGTTATTTTAAACGAAATAATAATAATAATAACATTAAATTATTAATAACCCGGGAAAAATAAAAAAATTATAAAATTAAATAAAAATAATAAAACTTATAAAATAAAATAAATATTTTATTTTTTATTATTATAATTATTTAACGATAATTTTTTTATTTTTTTTATTAAAAAAGTAAATTTTTATAATTATATAATAAAAAATAATGCCGTTACGTAATAATAACGAAAATCGAATAAAACGGGTTAAGTTTTTTCCGGTACACGGTTTTTACCCGAAAATTTATTAAATAATAAAACCGTACGTTTATTTAAAAAAAGTTCGAAAATAAAAATAATTAACGTAAAATTTAATAATAATAATAATAATAATAATAATATTTAAGTTTTTAATTATATTAAAATAAACGAAAATTTTTATATTTAAATATAAAGAAAAAATAATTTAATATATTATTAATTTAAGTTTTAAATTATTATTAATTTAATAATTAATTAAATAATTTTTCGAAAATAAGTAAATAAATAAAAAATATATTAAATATAAAAATAAAAAGTTTTAATAATAATTTTTTAATAATAAAAAAAATAATTTTACGATTAATAAATAAAATATTAATTATTTAATGTTTTTTTTTAAAAATAAAGTTTTATTTAATAAAGTTTTTTCGAATTTAACTTTAATATTTTTTTTATTAACGTAATTTTTATTTATTTTTACTTTTATTTTTTATAATTATACTTTTATTTTTAATTTAATTTTTTAATAATTATAATTTTTTATTTTATTTCGTGTTTATTTAAATAATGAATAATTATTTATATATTTTTAATTTTTTTATTATTCGTTTTATATAAATAATAATATAATTTCGATTTATTTTAATTTAAAATATTTATATATTTTTA